GCACGATAGATGTAGCTCTAGAGAAAAGTGTGTGTTAGCAGGGTGTACGGACATACAATGAAAGGGATTGAACGGCATAAAAAAGAAAAAGCAACATAACATTAGTGACGATAAGCTGTTAAAAATGCACGGGGGCTTGTTGGTGGGACACCATCATTATCACCCACTGTTCCACACGGTGGGCACAAGCACTAAGCAGAGATTCACAGACTGCTAGATAGTTGACTTCAGAATACAGATGAAGATAACTAGGAATAATTGAATTCAAAAAGTTCAGTTTCAAGGTATAATGAGCATGTGAATCAAATCAGATAAGGTCTTGGAAGGGATCTCTTAATGCCATAACCGCGCATACATGCACGAGATTATGAGGAAGGATTTATATGGAGTGTTCATTGCACGATTGATGCACAGTATTTTTGCGACAGAGACAAGAAGTCCTCGAGAGTATTTATACTAAACAGTAAACACAATTGCCCTAGCTCGCAATAGGACTATATAATCTACAATCCCGTATTTACAAAATAAAACTACCAGGAATATTAGTGTAACACCAAAACAACACTATTCCTCCCCTCCTATAATATTCTCCTTATTGTCCTAATGCAGTCTGGTAGTCCTACCAGTGCTAATAAATCCCTTAATCCTTAAATAACACTTTGTTGTTCCAAAATGCTAAAGGGGAATAAATAAAATAGTCAATTCCTGTTATCACATTAAAGAGATATATGCAATGAGTGATGTTGAGGGTTACACACAAAGGGGGATCAGACACTACAAGATTACGTCGCACATAGCTCTCCATATCGTTTAATACAGTGTAGAATGTATGCAGTACACTATTTTCCCTGCTGTATCTTTAAAGGTTTTGTACTTCTACTTATTTCGAACAAAACATGGGTTCCCATTTCATAAACTCGACACGTTTGTACACAAGGTCTCTTAGTTCGAAATGGCAACCAAAACACTCTGCCCCGATCCAAACAGCGAGACTATCTACTAGACACACCCAGTCATCACCGTAGCATACCTGGGACAAAACTCAGAAGATACCAGTTACTGTAATTTAACCAATTATGATATGCTAGTTTATTTGATGTGTCTGCAATTATTATATTATATTAATATAATATATACAGCTCACTAAGGGAGACACGGAAACTCAAATCCTCTCTACCCGTGTCTCTATCATTACGTGTTCTCTGGGTTGGGTGTTGTTTTGCTTGCCTTAGTCGTTCTCGCAAAACATATAGGGGTCACATGCAATATAGATATAGCACATAGACGCAACACCGAATATCTCTGGCTGACAATGCACCTATACCTAGTATCCTTCCGGAGTGTAGCGCACGGACGTACTATCGAAAATCGTCGAGTACTATAGTGCTGTGTTTGGCCGTTATTGGTGTTCTTGCGAGAGAGTTTGTATTGGTGCCAGTCGCCTCTTCTAGCAGGGCACCGTACTTGTCCCACGTCGTTCTCACCTTCACAGGCCTCTCTTCTTTCTTAATGTATCTCCCCTTGAATCAGGGCCTGGCACGTGTGTTCAAGTCCTGTCCACTGAACCTTTTTAATATGGTGTCTCTTAAATCATGACCAGGTGTATCCCTTTTTCATAAGTATCGTCCTGTTCCGACCATCCCTTGTCCTGCATCCAATCTGCATGTGTGATGCTGCAACTCACCAGCACTCGCCATGGGCTCTACACCAGCCCTCAACCGCCGACTTGTCGTGGAATGGGAGTGTACCTGTTTGTATGGAGGGTGACTCTAGTAGGTAGGTATAAGCACATACAAAAGCTCCATTTGCTAGTTGATACTTATGACTTTGCAGGAAGGGCTTTATTTTAGTGGGCAGGGACATCCATGAGACACTGCCTCCTCGCACTCCATCTCAATTTATCTACATCTGTGCTTTTCGCTAATCAAATAATGAACCTCGCTTGCTCCAAGTTGGTTCTTGTTGGTTTTAATAAATTTCTTCAATTTATAAAAAAATAAAAATGGCAAAATATAGAGATAAAAGGTTTCTGCCTGATAGCAGTGACCATATATTACGTTTGAAAAATACATTGGATCACATGGGACAAAATAGAGATGCGGTTAAACTAATTTATTATGGTTGATTTCTCTGGCAAGTGTATTATTTATATTAACATTACACTCTGTGTAAAACCTACAAAGGCAACCATGAAACTTTAATGATCCCTGGTTGGGGAACAGGGTAATTCAGAATCAAACCGTAATTGATTACAAAAACAAACAAAAATGCAAAATATGTGCACACAATGATAAGTAGAAAAAAAATGGAAACAGTCCTGAAGGCATAGATATATTTTGCCTTTAGCTTGTATATGGAAATTAGTAATAGTTCCACTGGAAAATTACTGTTGGTGTTTCAAATTTGATCTGTAAGATAAGTACCCTTGTAGTGAACAGTGACAGTTATTCAAAACTGTGGTTTACATTGTTTGCGTGGCTTGTCCTTGTTGAGCAGGAGAACTGGACAGAAGTTTACTTTGTTAAGTGCTGACACAAAATCTCATTAGTGTTTCATTTGATGTTACAGCACATTTAGGGTTAAGTTTAGGACTTTGCACTCTGCACATGCAGCTTATTAATGAGTATGCACATAGGTGTACTCTCAGTGTTTATCAGAAGTGTGTATGGGGAAAAGTAACATTTTTTCCAACTAGTATAGGCTGCCACTGACTATAAGTCAGTGGCAGCCTGTTTTCTCAGCAGTGAAACCTCTGAGCTCAGCGAAGTCATCTGCATTCTCCAAGTAACTCCTAATGCCCAAAAGGACACCTAACCACTACCCATATTGTACATACAATATTATATTATGGATAACAACTTTATTTTTCTCTCTCTCACTTGCCCCATGTCCTCATCAGGTTTGAATTAGGAATACCTTTTCCCTATCTCTTCCCCAACCCTCCCCCTTTCCATCCATCGGTTTTGGATTAAGACTTTACCACCCAGTGTGTAGTACTCCAGCCTTTGTTATTTAATCAAATTCATAATGTCCTACAGATGGCTCAAAGGCCTTCAGGCTTATTAGCTGTGACTGGGTGTGTGTTCTGCTTGGGGTCTTTTTCTGCATATGTCCTTTCCAAAAAATCATCATAGTTCCTTGTGGAATAATACCATATCAAAACTATAGTGGCTTAGAGATCATTTAACTGTTTTATTTGTGTCTTTGTAAAATGTATGGTTTACTGTAGCTCTACTGTGCACCACTGTTCTTGTGTGTGTCACAGCTTATCTACTGCTGTGTATTTGAGAGCCTTGATTTTTAATGTGAGCATACTATTAAGCACATCACTGTCTATATTATCCCTGAATCCACATCAGACTTAATCTAGGGCTTTTGATGTCCCAGTGTCAAGATTTTTCAGGACAGTGGGGTGTCTCTACTTGTGTTTCATGCAAAAACTCCTACAAGCAAAAGTAAAGCTATTCAAAACTTTTTCTAAAGCCTAATTTGAGAAAAAAAGACACCACTAAAGTCTGCAGCTTTGATGAAAACTCATAATTTGTGTTGCTCGAATCCCTCTTCCAAAGACCCTGCCTCTGTTTAAAGGCTGTAGCTGGTGTTTGGTTCATCTTTCCTCCCTGTTGTGTTTGAAACAAGCAAAGTAAGAGCCATAATAGGCTCCAGGAGCAGTAATTGAATAGAATAATAACAGGCTGTTAACACAGTTGTTAATTAGCGTTTGCTGATCCGTGCCTATCTACACCAAACAGCTTGGAGCCCATATATTAAAAAAGACTGAAAGATTAAGAGGCAAATGGGTTTCTTTTCATTATTCACATGAGGTATGCCTCCCAAGTGAATTACTTTTTAATGTCCACAAGGTTGTGTGTGTGTGTGTGTGTGTGTGTGTGTGCATATGTGAAGGGTAGGGGTAGCTTATGACCAAGGTGCATGTATTGACTTTAATTCTCTCTAATTACTTACTGTGTATGTTCAGGTAATTGTGGCTACTATATTTCACAAACACACTTTGATTGCTTTGCAGAAATATAGCCAACCACAACAACGCTATAACTGGCAGCTTTCTTAGCACACATTAGTATTCAGTTTGTGTGTCTGTATGTACAAGAACTTGTTAAGGATAATTCAAGATTATATTGTATTAAGCATTTTATTGAATTAAAACAAATAAAATATTATAATAATAATTGTCATATTTTAATCTGTGCCATCTTGCTTCTCTGTCTCTGTCTCTGTCTCTGTCTGTCCCTTAAATGCAGAATGTGTATGTAAACATCAATCGGATCATGTCGGTAGGGAACCGGCTCCTGGAGTCAGGCCACTATGCCTCCCAACAGATCCAGCAGATCTCTGGTCAGCTGGAGCAGGAGTGGAAAGCTTTCGCTGCAGCACTGGACGAACGCAGCACCCTGCTGGAGATGTCTGCCAGCTTCCACCAGAAAGCAGACCAGGTACACACACACAACACTGATAGACACAGAAATCATACACATGCACAAGAAATATAGATTTAAAAAATATATTTTAGTGTCAGTACAATTCACAAGCACTGGGGTTACAATTGACCTGAAATACAATTTAAATGACCAATTTTGCTTTGGTTGCAGTAACAATGCATTAGTTAGTTGTTGACACTGAATGTCCCTATTTTCTGTACAGCCTTTAGTGCTCAAAACTTTTGTTCATTTGTTCTTTTGTTAATATTTGTGGGAAGGGCAGCATTACAGACATAATATTGTATGTTTTCATGTCATATCTGTGGTAAAATAGTCTCTATTCTTAGCTCACTGAGTTGCTGTAATAAATGTTTTTTTTTTTCATTCAGAGCCCCTGTCCCCTTCCCATAACAGCTTTATCAAAGCTTTCTACAAAGCTTTCTGGTTGGCTGTCTCCTTTCTCCTTGTTGAACTTTCCCCTCACTCTTACTCTAGTCTCTCTTTCCTGTTTCCAAACATAACAGTTTGGATGCCAAACCTTTATGTGGAGATTAATTGACAGCCTGTCAGGAGCAGTTTTAATGCAGAGTTTGGGGAGCTCTGAACTCTTCATATTGTACATACTCTGAACTCTCTGAACTCTTCATATTGTACATACTAATAGCATGGATTGTATTAATAGTAACGTGCAGTGTTAGCATTTGAAAAATTAAAAAGTATGTACTGCACTAAATAGTACAGTTACAGTCATTTAGCAAAAATGTGTCATACTTGTTTTCATTATCTTGGTTTCATAGAAACAATCTTTCAAGGAATGTAGGCTTGATAAGAAATTCAAATTCCGATGTGTATTTTTTATAACAACAACTAAATAGCAAAGTTGTTCTGGTTTCATCAAGGGTCCCATCTGTGTTATTCAATGTTTGTATTATGTGTGTGTTCCCTCCCCAGTACATGAGTAAAGTGGAGCCGTGGTGTAAGGCATGTGGTGAAGGAGAGCTGCCCTCTGAACTCCAGGATCTGGAGGACACAATCCACCATCACCAGGGACTATATGAGCACATCACCACTGCATACTCTGAGGTCAGTACACACATTCATACACACTGATTCTGTATGAGTGTGCAAAACAAATGTAAATGCAAATATTAACGAGCAGAGTAGAACACAAAATAGAACAGACAATTATCCAAATTATGTACTAAAAATATACACACATGCAAAGTGAAAAAATCCCTTAGGAGCTTATTCATTGCTGCTAGGTAAATAATAAAAACAATATTCACACTATCTAACAAATTGACAAATATTCCATGAAAATCATAGAACAATATTTCAAATATATTTTTTAAGTTGAACCAAACAAGAAAAGTAATTCCATAAGTTAGTATCCCTAAATCTTATTGATGATTTACCTTCATTTAATGAGATTTTTGGGACAATTAAAAGCAGATAACTGTGTTTGTTCTCATTTGAGTCTGAGTAAATCTGTCTAATTAATGACTTTTCTAGGTATACTAATAGATTTAGTATCTTTTTGCTGACACGATCAATGCATTTTCTCCAACCTGAGTCCTGTATTTGAGTTATTTAGCAGAGGCATTCGATTAATCTCTGAGATACCTTTTCAATCTGTCAAACTACACGTCACGTCTTACAGGTAAGCCAGGATGGGAAGTCTCTTTTGGACAAACTGCAGCGACCTTTGACCCCAGGAAGTGCTGATTCATTGATGGCATCAGCTAACTACTCCAAGGCTGTGCACCATGTCCTAGACATCATCCATGAGGTGCTGCATCACCAGAGGCAGCTGGAAAACATCTGGCAGCATCGCAAAGTTCGCCTGCACCAACGGCTGCAGCTGTGTGTCTTTCAGCAGGATGTACAGCAGGTAAGAGACACACACAGAAATTCAGAAATCCACAAGACCTGCAGCTGTGTGGCCACCACCAGGTTTTGTTTTGCACACATGGACAGACATACACACCACTGTACAGAGCTATTTTTCAAAACATTTTTACTGAAATTAATCAACTTATTGAGCTTTTCTCAAGGCTAGTCCTTATGTGGCAGTTTTACTAAATTAATTTTGATGAAAATAAATGTAAAACATATATTGTAAAACACTTGTGTTTTCCTATACTTAAGTAAGACTGGTATTGCTGACAAAATATATTTTTTCTAGCAACAGTACACATTAATACTGAATCCATAGTTAATATATATAAGGACACTGTTCCATTATACAAACATTAGGTAAAGTGAATAGCAGTAAAGTGTTGCTATCTTACTTATTATCTTTTTTAATGGTTAGATCCAATACATTTTTGTTATTTTGAAGAGGGATATTCTGCAAGCATTCCATACTGGATAGCAGAGGGTGTGATATTAAGATATAGTATAATCAGCTCTAGCTTCAAAGCTTTTTTCCTTCCCCCTGGGGTTTCACAGTGAGACTCTCTATCTCTGTGTGACTATCTGGATGGCAGAGCTCTTAGATCAAATCTACTGAGCTGGTGTATAGTGTTGTCTCTGCGTTTCTACCCTTTGGGCATGAACTCTTCTCGGTCTCTCTGCTCCCTCCCTTCTTCTTTCTCTCACTCTCTCTGTCTTGTTGTATATCTGCACTTGTGTATTCCCCCTCTTCCATCCACTCTTTCATTACCCTTTCCTCTTGGTAGTTGTTTCCATGGTGATGCAATTTACTGTCACATAAAGTGTTGAGGGCATTGCGCACATGTTCATATGTGTTTGTCCCATCAAGAGACCTTGAGCATCATGAAAATCCCTTTCATTACCCCACATAGAAACAGATGAAGTATGGCCATCTGTTTAATAGATAATAAGGTAATTATGTGAAAAGATTTATAGCTAATCTCATTCACAGTGGAAATGTTGACACTGCTCTGGATTTCCTATTAGGCAAAACCTAATTGTTCACACTTGTGTAATTTAAAGATGACAGAGTGCAGATGGAGAAAAAGAGTAGAGAAATGGTTGATGAGTAGAGGGGCAGTGTGAGCAAGACAGAGGGGCGAGGGAAAAGAGAGATGACATCTACTGTACTGGGTATACAGCTATTCCAGTCAATTGCACCCCCTACTGTTTGAAAATGTATAATGCATTCTTAATGTACAGTTACCCTGTGCAGTGCATATTTAAACCATGCACATCACACATACTGTATATGTGTGTGTGTGTGTGTGTGTGTTTTAAGGTGCTGGACTGGATAGAAAACCATGGCGAGGCCTTCCTCAGTAAACACACTGGTGTTGGGAAGTCTTTGCACAGAGCCAGGGCTCTGCAGAAGAGACATGAAGACTTCGAAGAGGTTGCGCAGGTGAGTTTTAAAAGTAACGCAAAAAAAAATTCTAGTTCAAAGTGTTAAAGCAAATCTTCATGCTGTGACATACTTTATCCTCTAGGCATCAAATGCAATTCTTTATGAAAAACAAACATGCATGCTGAAATTTAGATTCCATTGTTAAAACTTCAAAGAAAATGAAGAAAAGAAAAGTGAAGTCATATTTCAGAGCACAGAAATGCTTAATGAAATTTAAGATTTGACATTGCTATATTGTTCTAGACCAATAACAACAAAGAAAACTAAGATTCGATTTTAGGACAGATCTTAGAGACTAGCAGTTAGCCATAACAGTTTAGTGTTTGAGATACTATACTCTATAATTGAAATATACTTAATATTAATATTTCAGAACACCTACACTAATGCTGACAAGTTGCTAGAAGCAGCAGAACAGCTGGCCCAGACCGGAGAGTGTGACCCTGAGGAAATTTACCAGGCTGCCCACCAGCTAGAAGATCGCATCCAGGACTTTGTGCGACGTGTCGAGCAGCGTAAAGTCCTGCTAGACATGTCTGTTGCCTTCCACACACATGTCAAAGAGGTGTGTATTTCCTCTCCTCTACTCAACCCTAATTAGCCCTATTTAACACATTGATTTGACTCCTGTTTTGTCTAAAGCTAAAGGCTTATGCCACTAGTACTGCATGAAGTCAGGAGCTGAGAAGGTAGAGGGTTCTCGATTTATTGATCGCTCTCCAGCTTTTCATGTAGGAACGACGAGAAAAAGCTTGTCATATCTTTGTCCACCATCAATAGCTGTCTCATTGGTCATTTTTTGCTCTTGCCTTTCACACTGCACAGTATTATAGCAAAGGATGGGAAATTCCTCTATAATGGTTATCATTTTAGACTAGGTCTAACTATGACAATGGCAATATAAGGGCCATTTTTGCTTTGTATATCTGTTTAAACATTACCTCTACAATCAGAGTTGCAGTTGCAGCCAACTATCACTGTGAAATAGAAACATGATTACCGGTAACTAGAAAGAACCCAGAGAGCACAAACCACTGTCAAGGCTGCATTATCATTTAAATTTGTTGTTTTAATAATTAAATGTTTAATCTGCATTGAGATGTCTGTGTCAAAATCATCACATAGTGATGTTAATTTTAGCAAATAGCTACTATCTTCTCCTCAAAGCAAGTAGGTCCTGGGTTCTTATCCCAGCTGGGGCAGGGCCTTTCTGTGTGTGTTCTACCAGAAACATGTATGTTAAGTTAATTCTCCTGTCCATGCCTTTGACCTTAAAACTGGATTTGGGCCCTAAACAATGGCTGCCCCCTGTTTCTAACACTTAAGCTGGGTCAAATGCAGAGAAGGAATTTAAGTGAGCCACAGTCATGACCACAGGACTGAATACATCAGTTTTCTGTAGCACTACCTATAGGTGAAATGCAATTGAATTTTCAGGATGGATTGCATTTTACATTGTAATTTTATCATAATTGTTAACATCATTGTCGAAATTCTCCTGAATATGTCCCTGCCAGTCATTACGTTCTCCCTGTGCAAACATCTGTGCTTTGCTTTCCCTCTGTAGTGCACTTTTGTTGACACAAATTAAAGGCAATCTGCCATCCCCTTCACTGTGATAATTACAATCATGCCTTTAATTTTCCTTATTATTTACTTTATTCTTTCAAAAATAAATATAGGACACACAAAGTACAGGACAGGGATCTGTACATGCTGTGTAGATGTGGTGGTAATCACTGCACCACTCCCTTAATTCCTCTCACAGTGTTATGGTAATATGAAAGTCATACACTGCACATCTTTGACTGTCAAAATTAACCTCTCCACAATGACATAGTACCGTGCTCTGCATGTGTTAACACTACATCCTGTTTACATAGACTCATAAAGACAGTCAGAGCCACGGTGTTATTAATGAAGCTACTCTTTAATGTCCATATGGACTAATCTCCTTCATCCCATCTGTCAGCTCACACTAGTCCAGGTCACTGTGTGTGTGTGTGTGTTTGTGTGTGTGTTTCTGTGTGCTTGTCCTGTGTGTGTGTGTGTGTGTGTGTGTGTGTGTGTGGGCACAAGTGAATGTTTCCTGCCCATCACCTCTTCTAGCCTTTGGATGCAATCCAGCAACAGTTTACTGTGGAGACATGAGCATGAACTACATTGGAGGAGAGGGGATTCATCTGCACTAATATTCATGAAGTAGATGAATAGAGTCACTCCAGATAAAACACATAATCTCTTTGTAATTTTAATATTGTTACGAAATCTACATAAAATGACAAAAAGGAAAGTGCAACCTACAGGGAGGCCTTGTTGTCAAAAGGAGCTGTGACATGGTATAACAAACTGTCCCTAATATTTTGTATTTAGTAACGTACTGCACATGAAAGCTCAGATTGCACCTTCCACAAAACACATACAATTAAAGCTGCTTTAGTACAGCCTAATTTAAAATAAAATGCCACCAGGCTTTAATTAAAAACATTTTGTATTACCAAAAAGCTCACTCAACCGTTTGCATATTTGGTTGCCAAACATCAGTGTCAACGTCTATATACTGTAGATGTCAAGTATAATGTAACATATTTTATATTACTAAGTGGATGATGTCGTAGATATGTTTTTGAGAAAGCAGTGTGGGTGTTAGACAAACCGTGGGTGCCAGGGTCTCTCTCCTGCAGCCTGGATGGTGTGCCAGGGCTTTAGTATGTTGAGCCAATTCACCCAGATGGCTAATCTGTTACAAAGATGACCATTCACAAAACACCAGCTTTGAGCAGAACCGATTGGATTTGATTTCTTTCGCCCATCTTCTGTCTGTGCATTTGGCAGCTTGTCTATCTGTGTTTAACTCACAGCGCTTTGTGTATCTGCCTCACCCTCTTCAGCATGTGTATTCTGTTCACAACAGGGCTGTTTGGCTGCTTCCTGTTTTTTTTTCCGCCTGCTCTTATACTGTATACCACATGATGCTGCATCTTAATTGGCTTGCCTTTCCTGTCAATCACTGTTAGCTGTGGACGTGGTTGGAGGAGCTTCAGAAGGAACTGCTGGATGATGTTTATGCAGAGTCAGTGGAAGCAGTGCAAGACCTGATCAAGCGTTTTGGCCAGCAGCAACAGACCACTTTGCAAGCAACTGTCAATGTCATCAAGGAGGGAGAGGATCTCATACAGCAGCTCAGGTGACAGTTATTAATGCATGCTACACTAATGTCTGCATATTGTAATATATAATATACACAGGGGTAAGCCATACACAAAACAAACAAACTCTCTGGGGTTAGATTTAGGTTAACAACAATAATAATGAATTCACTGAAAATAACAAATAACTAAATACTAAAATTAAGGAATGCAAAGCCCAAGGCCCAAGATTTGACAATCTTTCTGCAATCATTGTACAATTGAGGAAAATAAATAATAAGGCTACAGAGAAACATAGAAGGTATAGAAATCATCAAAAAGGAAAAGTAGTTTTCTTTGACTTTCTACACAAGAACTGGGACCCACATCTCTGACCATAAATACACCACCTGTAACACCCCTGTATTCGACCTCTCTCCACAGAGACTCGGCCATCTCAAGCAACAAGACGCCCCACAACAGCTCCATGGCCCACATCGAGAGCGTGCTGCAGCAGTTGGACGAGGCCCAGGGCCAGATGGAGGAGCTGTTCCAGGAAAGGAAGATCAAACTGGAGCTCTTCCTCCAGCTCCGCATCTTTGAGAGGGACGCCATCGACGTGAGTAGGCGGGACATGGAGGATTGGTTTATGATGAATATTTACTTTTTATTTTGCAATGTTAGATAAAAGTGAGAGTGAGAAAGACAGAAAGAGTAGAAGCTGGGAGTGGATGAAGCAAATGGATTTGCATTTATAATATCTGAGGGGAAATAGTTGGGAAAAGAGATTTACTAATGAGCATGAAAAATTGTTGGGAATGTTTTTTTTTTTTTATTAAAAGATCAGTTACATGTGGCAAGGGACACACTATAAAACCAAAATGACTGTGACTCCGAGCTGATGGACCGTTACACTGTAAAAGGGAGATTCAGTCCTGTAGCGAGGAATCCTGCTGGTTTAAAGCTTGGTTGAATTCACAGAGATACTCTCACATGTGCTACATTAAAAAAGTATTTAGTTCCACTTGACGCATCTCATCCACTGACTCATTCCAATTTAGTTTCCCCTTCCCTAACCAGCAATAGGCTACATTGTATCCACTAATTCCTTCACCTCCCACTGTGAGAGTGAATGCTTCTCTCAGCTGGTGTTCAGACATGATAACTGCTCTTTTCAAATATTATTTTATGTTTCTCGTAATGTTTATCATGGCTGTAGAATCAGATTTGTTGAACCACACTGTGTTGACAGATGAATTCTCACTCAGTCACGATGGAAGTAAAAACGTTTTAACAAGAAAGTTTGTTGAAAGTAATCAGTGCAGACATGAATGGAAGTGTGATGTAAGAACTGCAATTTTAGCCATGTTGGCAGTGTGGCTCTGTGGATGGCACTGTTGGTGTAACCGTCAGTCAGATGCTCAGTTGGTCCAGTGATTTGGTATACCTGCAAAATGCCATTCCAATACACCTCAGCTGTAGTTTTTGTTTATTTTTTTTGTTTAATTAGCAAATGGTAGCACACTAAACTAAGTTCAGTCAGCCAACTCACGTTAGGGCTACATTACAGCAGTATAGAATATTTAGATTTTGGCGTCTAAGCTCTGACCTCATCACTCCCCGCAGACATGTTTACATAGAGATATTAGGGAGTGATGAGCAAATACCTTAACCCCTAGCCGGAGCCTACAGGTGGATGCTGGGGTGGTGGTGGGGCCTTACAGCGCAGCAAGCAATCGGATGCAGGGGCAAAACACGACATTGACAGAGAGAGGGAAGCTGGGAATTGTTGCAGTTTTAAATAGATCGCCAGATTGGAAGGGTGCGCTTGAATAAGTTGAATTATGAGTTGAGGCAATGTTTCATGGTTGTTAATATCAACGCAGCTTCCGAGTTGACTGCCTGAACTCGCAGGCTTCGCTCCATATGTGTTAGCATTTAGCAAAGAGCACCTTACTGCTTAAGTACCTGCCAAACCTGATTTAACACTCTTGTTTGTGTTAATGCTCAAATGATTACATAATAATTACTGTGTTTCTATTAATAACCAGAACATTTGATTTACCTTTCCGGATATTGTCAGCTGGACTTTCAAGACATAAATATTAACCTTAAGTAGAACATTACTTGGGAAGACTAGCCATTGTAATACCGAACCTAAAAATGTGTGTAAAAATTCTTTAAAACAATGGTGTTTTATTCTCCTCCTCTGTGTGCTAATAGAAGCTCTGTGGTTGGTTTCAAGTCTTGTGTCTTTGCTGTTAAGTCCAAAACAACAGATAAGTCTCTCTTTAGCTCTGCGTGTCAAGTCAGGGACCGGTGGTGAATCTGCTAATCTTTCATATTGAACACTGAAGTACGCCCACACATACACACACATAGACAGAGGATTAATATGACACAGTGCTTGAGCATGTAGATGGGTGGAGGAGGCATTTGTTTTCATCCACTCCCATGCACTGTGACACTCCCTCCTGGCCTGAAGGGGGTTGTGTGTTTAAGGTGAGGGCATGGGGTTGAGGTGAGACCCACAGTTGTCTCACAGTGCTCTCTTCTCTGATGATAAGCGCTGTATCACTGCAGACTTATCCCCTTACATGAGTTAGTTTTCACAGTGTTGGTAGATGAGGGAGATGATCTTTTTGCACACAGAGGGCATTTTACTCAACTGTAAGAGAAGGGGAGAGCAGAATGCAAATGAGTGCTTGGTAAGTTTCTACTTTGTTGCCTGGTTTTTTTAATTATCATATTGGTTAGAGAGAGTATTGTATTATTCTGCTATGAAAAGGCATGATAAGATTACTCTGTGTGCTAGCCAAGAAAATCATGTTTCTATACAGAGGAGAATTTTATGAATCCAACTTTCCAAAGCAGCTTGTCATAAGGCAAGCACGCTTTTCCACATTCTGAGAGAATAATGCTCTTTTGCAAAAGAGGTTTATCTTTCTTTTTTGTATAAACATATTTAATGGGAAGGTGCTCCTTTCAGTTATGAAATATACTTTTAAGCATTGTGATCTCTTTATAGTTTTGAGTAATAAAGAAAATGACTTTAATGGATTATTTGATAAATCTTATCCAAGACTAAAAAAAGTTGCTTTACCCTGGATTTCACCCTTTAAAGGTTATCTCCATTGTCCAAGGCTTGTCTGAACCCATGTCTGAGGAGACGTGGTCTATTTATTTTCAACAAAGCTCAGCAGGTGTAATACTGTCTGTGACCTCTCTGCAGTGCTGGTTGAATATGTGAAAAAACACCTATCTTAGAGCATATTGTGTCCTACAGAAATAGGTAGGACTAAGAAAGTTTGTTTTTTCTACACTTTGACTTGAAGTGCTTCAATGGTCATGTCAAGAATAATGTGCATGTCGGCTCATGTCCTATTAAGTGAAGCTGAGCTCCCCCTAGCTCCCTTGTACTTCGCACCCTGGTGTTAACATTGATAAGGCAAAAGAGGAGAAAAAAAAGAGTTATTCTGATATCTGCTTTACAGAAAGCTTTTACAGCTAACTATGTGGGTGTTACGTCCATATAACCACATTTTGTCAGTCTTTTGACTAATGAGCATGAATGTGTGTTCTAATGATCACAGTGGCTGGCCAGGCTGGCCACAGTGTCTAAATGTACCAGTATGCACTGATCACTGCAACTGTGTTCAGTAGCTACAGTTAGCAGCTATGCTAGCCATTTCTGGCAGACCACATTAACTGATATATTACATCACACGATTAAAACCTCTTGTCCCTTTTTACGTATGTGATTTAATTTATTTTATCTTCTCACATTGGCAACACACTGAACTTTCTACGACAGAATCCCCAAAAAGTAATTGTAAAACTTACTTAGTGACTGGTGTTTGGAGGTAAACCTGAGACTAAATACTACAAAGAAACAAAGATTTACTAAGATTTTTTTTTGTCGTGGCCAAATTATATGGACTCACTGTTCACACTTGTAGAGCTGTATTTACTGGGTACAGTTTATTCTGTCACTTAAAAAGGAATTTTCTATTTGTTGGTTTCTTGTTTTGTGTTCTGTGCATTTAATTTGTCCCAACTCAGTGCAGTTGGTGCTATTCCCTGGTTTTCCCTAAATGTTGCATATGACAAATGGCATAAACAAACTCTCAGCCTGCAGTAAATTTCTGTTGCTCAAATGCTTCACCATCTTTTGCCAAGTTTTAACAGTATATAGGCTACTGTTGCTGCACTATGAATCAAACCTCTGTCTGTAGCACTCATGGCGTAACATACATGGACAGGATTGTATCAGTTATAGCCTGTAGAAGTACCTAAGAAGGAGGAAATTAAAAATAGCTTAAGAGATATTGCATTCTCATGCAGATATTCAGTTTCTAAGGTACAAGTTAGCAATTTTTGAATTGAGGAGGACAGCTGCCAAAGCATCTAATTTTCATTTATGCACTCAGATCAAATTTTACCACTGTTTTCATTGCTTACATGTTATTATCATAGATGTCTTATTTGTCAGGGCATTGAAACTCCACATATTTCAAAGTTGCGTCACAGAACAGACAGACACTAACTTCAAACTTTCACCCATGTCTTTTTTCACCCAATTAGATAAGAGCAAGAGTGTTGAAATCTGATCACTTTGGTCTGTCGTGAATCATGTTATGGCCACAGCACTGTGAATGTCAGTCTCAGAGGTCCACTTCTGACATTAAGATTCGATTTTGCACCATAGCAGGTCCCAAATAAAAGCCAGTGGTGAAGTCTATTCTGACACATAAAGTAATAATGTAAATGACCAAAATGTATTTTATAGGGCTTACACGCTAAGTTCCTATGGATGTTGCATAGTAAATACAATCCGGGAAAATGAGTTTTTATGACAAACCAAGAAAATCAGGACACAAGGATTCTTAAGTTTACAGTTCAATTAGAACAAAATATACTTACTCAAAAGAGAAAATTATAATAAAAACCTGTTTTAAGTAACAGTCCGTCTTAAATAAAGAATTATTATTCTCTCTTCAGTTACAGTAAATTAAGATTCAGCCACTATTTGACATATACAGTAACTCCATATGCCCCAGAGCAAGAGTCGAATTCTTACATTAAGTGTTGACTAGACGTCATGAGTTTATGAGTTTGTTAAAAAAAAAAACCTAAAAAAAAAACATTGACAGACAGAGCTGGATGGTGCCAGGATCAAGGTGCCCCTGGTATCATGATTCAGTCTGCGTGGGCAGTCAGAGGCATGCGCTGACATCTCGGTACATCTGCTTTACCAGCCGTGCATCACCAGTGTAATATGTTATCTGTTATTATGGCAGCCAGCTTAGGGTGTCGGGTTACAGTAATTAAACTGTCTGACTTGGTATTTGAAAATTCTCTCAATCATAAAATTATATGGAAAATGAAATGGCAGTGCTGTTTTGCTGTGCTTTACAGTCCTTTTAATGTTTGTGCTGGTAAAAATAATTGTAGTTAGGCATCTTGTTGTATTAGCAGTGTAATATTTGCACCATGCAACCATTATTGTTCATTGTGTCTGAATCCTTTTCGTGAACAAAAAAATAAATTTTTTCTCCCATTTCCCCGCCCCCGCAGATTATCTCAGACCTGGAGTCATGGAACGAGGAACTTTCCCAACAGATGAGTGAATTTGACACAGAGGACCTGACACTGGCTGAGCAGAGGCTACAGCATCATGCAGACAAGGCACTTACTATGAACAACCTCACTTTTGACGTCATCCATCAGGGACAAGAGTTGCTGCAGTATGTCACAGAGGTCCAGGCGTCTGGTGAGTGAGGAAATAGATATACACTTCCTAAAGTATTTTGTCAAGCACAGATTAAATGCACCACGGACATATACGCAGGGTGCAGTATTCACATATGGTAAGATGAATCTGTCGGAACTACACATTTATTTTGATTTGATTTGCAAGTAGCAGGAGGAGATGGATGCTCAAAATGGAAAAGAAATTTAGGGAAAGAGGAGGAAGGAATGGAGGGCAGATCGGCTTTTACCAAGCAGATTTTGCCTCTTAATCCGTAAGAGTCATGTTTATTGTCGGGTTAAACCACTGTAAGGCACATACACACACACACACAGAAGTACATTTTTTAGATGACCAGGACCACGCCTCCTGTGTTGTTGTGTGTCACAGTACAAATCTAGCTGACGTTATGCAAAAATCTAGCTCTGCAGTCAGCCAGCCTGCTACAGCTAGCTACATGGATACATTAATGATAGTAGTTATGCGAAAGCTACCTCTGTAGCTTGACTCAGGACAGTAATTATTTACCAGGGCCAGCCCTACAGCTGGCATCACGACAATGCTGCTATGGAATGCAGGACTTAAATGTGAGTACAGATTATGCCAATGCTAAACATAATTTATTCAGCTTCCACCAAATCAGAATTCATGGTGTGTGCATGGCTTTCTGTTTTTAAACATAGGCTATCTATGGCAGCCATTATTCATTTTCACAGCTTATACTCTGTATCCATCCTGCTGTTCTGTTGATGCATTATATTCATGAAACACATATTCTATAGCTCTCCATCTACTTCCATGTAGACTATGTGATTTCAGCATAAGAGAAGAAGAATTTGTGATTATTGAGTAAATAACTAGGGAAAAAGAACATAAACAGATATAATAAAATATAGATTTTAACATATTAAAATGTCTACTGTGTGCAGGTGTGGAGCTGTTATGCGACAGAGATGTGGACATGGCCACACGGGTTCAGGACCTGCTGGAGTTTCTCCACGAGAAGCAGCAGGAGTTGGACCTGGCAGCAGAGCAGCACAGGAGACATCTGGAGCAGTGTGTCCAACTGAGGCATCTACAGGCTGAAGTCAAACAGGTGAACAGTTGGAGGAAGAAAAGGACAAGAGAGTATAACAAGGATAGACAATGATACAGCATTAAAGCACTCTAAGAGCTAGGCTTTTTACTTATGAAAGGATAATCCTTGCATCAAATTCAATCAACTAGTTTTAGGATATTGGAAGGGAAATTAGTGTTTATATATGAATGCTTACATGTGCTGTATATCAGAAATAAACACACCTAGGGCTACCTGTAATGTTTTTTCTCCTCCTGAGACTGAGGTCAAACTGATCTGTGGAAAGCCATTCTGACAATTTATTGCTACAGCACTCCATGATATTACAGCAGAGAGTGTTGAAGGGCTAAAAGGCTACAGTATGTTCTGTCTGCACATGACCATGGATAGATGACTCATCCTGTGTCAACAATCTCTCTCTCTCTCTCTCTCTCTCTCTCTCCTCTCTCTGTCCTCTCGCTCTCTGTCTCTCTCTCTCTTCTGGGAATAGTCAGCCTGCTACACTATGTTTGGATGTTCAGCTAAGGTTTAACGAGACAGGGAGATAAGTGAAAATTCAGGGCAAAAGAAGACAAATGGGCCAGACAGACTGACTTGATAGGAAGGGAAAGAGATCGAGTTTCTTAGGTTATTGTTGTGTCAGTGAAGAGCATGTCAACTAGCAATTCTCTCCCAATATTCATTCAATAGTTGAGTACAATAAAAGCAAGAAAATCGTGTGAGGCTTGCAATGTAGCCTACTGATTTCAAAGCAAAACAAAAACGAACATAGAGCCAATTTTCATAACTAGGCCTGTTATCATAGTGCTGTAGCCGAACAACAACAGGGTTTATGTTTCAACTTGCACTAGAATAAATAAAAAACTGAACCAAAGTGGTGGCAGATATGAAATTGAGACTAAAACATACAAATTGATACCCAGAGAGTACTGCAGCAACACACTTCAGAAGATGCACTGCCATGGCATTGATTGAAGAGATCTTACGTTATAATGATAATGTGATGCTGGTGTTGTTTTGACTCATCCACCCACACAGAGGCAGGACTATATATGCAGCTATGGACTATCAGAATTGTCTTAAGGCTGCTGCTGGTTTTTAAGCTAGCAAGCACTTTTAAACTAATGAGCATCATACACTACTGTGCAATGTAGTTTTTAACATGGATTTCTCAGATGTCCATGTTAAATATTGCTCAATTGCTTCTGCCCTCCTTTCCCTCACAAACCCTGTTAGTTTGAAGTTGGACACAACCATAATCTGGTAATTGTAGCATGTATATTTTATTTCTGCTACTGGAAATGTATATATAATAATATCACAGCCTTTTAGTCATGGCCAACCCTACTACAGTTGTTGATATTGTTTCTTTATTTTTTTTATTTGTGGCTTTAAATGTCCCAAACTAAGAAGTGGTTACTGTTTAGAACTGCTTTCTGTATGTCATTATGAAATGGGCACAGTTTAGGAACAGGAATTTGCTGGAAAAACTTGTACTCATTATTGCTGATGTTGCTGCTGTTTGTTCGTGCCTCAGAGTTACGTCATGTGTACATTAAAGCTCCTATGATATTCAGCAGTTAACACTCATACCTGTCCTGCCTAGGGACATTGCAAGTGCAATGGAAACATAGGCTCTGTTGAAGTTATGGAAAAACAAGAGTCAGGGTTGTGTTGCATCATCACTTTTATAGCCAAGATCCAGTAGCAGTTCTGCCCATCACCCACACAGCAGGTGTGCATGCTGAGTCAGACAGAGAGGTGTTCTGAAAGATTGTGTTTAACATACCCTTTGGCTAGAACTAGGCCAACAAAACTATGAGCAAATGGGATTTTGTGAGGATCTAGGAGTGTGTGTGTGTGTGTGTGAGGCGGGGTGAAGAGATTATCTACAAAGGGGAGAGAGGGCTAAGTAAAGGATAGTTGAGGAACATCAAACAGAAACAGAGTGAGGAAGAAAGGAAAATAGGAACAAAGATAGAGGATAAAAAAGTTTACAGCTTATAAGTAGTGCAAGTAATTCCTTTCTGTTAAAAAATAAAGAGTGAGTAATAACAAACCTTGTGTGTGTGTGCTGTGTGTATTTTAGGTGCTGGGTTGGATCCGTAATGGCGAGTCCATGCTAAACGCTGGTCTGATCACAGCCAGTTCATTACAAGAAGCCGAACAGCTGCAGAAGGAACATGAACAATTCCAACATGCAATAGAGGTAAAAATCTGAATTATTTTCCTTTCTTGCTCTCCTTTCACTTAGAAGCAACATGTTGATGTCCATGTGCTTTGTACATCCAGTTGAATGTATTGTTCTGTTTCCTAATCCCATTTTTTCCTCTTTCATCACGTTTGCCTCCTTGTGTCCCATCTTTCATCTCTCTTTCCCTCATCTTTTCGCACTTCTGCATCTCCTCTGCTCCGTTCAACCTTTTGCCTTCCGAGAAACTGTACTCAGGTTCATATGTCTCCACCGCCTCCCCATTCTCATCACAAGTCACACATGAAATGGAATGTTGAATAACTAATATCTCTACCTCGCTCTGTCTTCCCTCTCTGCCTACCTTTATTCTTTATTTCCTTTTCTGTCTTTACCACTGATTATGCACGGTGCATTTCCTTTGAACTCTATCGAGCCTGGCTCATTTTAATGCGGGCCTTCACCTGACCTACTTCTACAGGACTCACACACACACACACAGATGCACACTCAGAAAAAAGCTGTGTTTATGATTATTGCTTACGTGAGACTGGAATTTTAACACGCATACCATAACTGTAGTCCCTGAACCTGAAAATGGGTCCTCTATTGTGAAAAAAGAGCAAGTGATATGGGAATGTCCTCCTTGACAGTACCTTGCAGGTGCTGCAGACATTATTAAAGCTTCCAGGAAATCTTTCATTCTTCCTTTATCTTCTTTTGTTTTCCCACCCTCTTGTGCTCTGAGTCCAGCAAAGAGTAAAAGCCTTATTCTCAGGCTAAACAGAAATCACCAGATACTGTCCCTTTTTACTTCCCTATCTCGTTTCCTCTCCAGAATCCTCACACCAGGACAATCTTTATGACACAGCTATAATCAGACACTTCTTTTATTTATTTAGCTTTTCTTCCACCCTCTGCCAAACTGCCCTGCAGGGCCAACGTGAAGCTGAGGTCCTATTTTCAAAGCAATCATTATAATATAGAGATTCATATAAAGCTTGAATTTCAATGTTTTTTTTATCTCTTCCCTATTCCCCATGCAGAAAACCCATCAGAGTGCGTTGCAGGTACAGCAGAAGGCTGAGGCCTTACTCCAGGCAAACCACTACGACATGGATATGATCAGAGACTGTGCAGAAAAGGTACCGCTCTCTTACAAGTTTATACATATAAAGAGAAAAACATGAATACAAATGTGGGTGGCGTGATTGCTGTTTCAAAGCTGTAAATCTTAAAATGACTAGTTTTGTTTGACTTGAAGGTGGCAGACCACTGGCAGCAGCTGATGCTGAAGATGGAGGACAGACTTAAGCTGGTTAATGCTTCTGTGGCCTTCTACAAGACTTCTGAACAGGTGCTTTTGTGTTTGTGTGTATGGACTCAAACAGGTGTTAAAGAGTGTTGAATAATCTAGAACAGGCAAAAAGCAAAAATGACAACAACGGATTATGGGAATTACACTCTCCTTTGTGAACCTCAGTAGACCCGGAAAGCTTGTGCTAGCAATATCAGAGTATAATTTTAAAACTGCTCTCAATAGTGTGCAGTTTCACACATTGCATCAAAGTCTAAAGCAGGAAAGGACAAGTGTTGCCTTGTACAGTGTTTTTTATGTACTGTATCATCTGTCTCAGGTATGCAGTGTGTTAGAAAGCCTGGAGCAGGAGTATAAGAGAGAAGAAGACTGGTGTGGTGGTGCTGATAAACTGGGTCCGAACAGTGAGTCAGACCATGTCACTCCCATGATCAGCAAACATCTTGAGCAAAAAGAGGCCTTCCTCAAGGTGAGAAAGTTATTTCAATTTATATTTAGAAGAAAACATGTCAAATCACAATATGTTATTTCTATGTCAGGAAGAAATTACTATTGACCCTGTAAGTGACATGTGTTCTCATTCTGTACACTTAAAGGCCTGTACGTTAGCCAGGCGTAATGCCGACGTCTTCTTGAAGTACCTGCACAGGAACAGTGTCAACATGCCTGGCATGTTGTCCCATGTCAAAGCTCCAGAGACTCAGGTTAAGAGTAAGTAGATGACTCAGACTTTTTTCTTTTCTGCATCTTATCACTAAAAAGGTGTTAGTTAATTTCACTTTTTCTATCCACCGTTTCTTTCATTTATTCACAGAATTATGAATTCAGGTGTTTAATATGTTTCTCTATAATGCTGACACACAATAATAAACATCTCAAATACATTTATTTTGTGTGCTGTGTCATCAGATATTTTGAATGAGTTGCTGCAGAGAGAGAACAGAGTGCTCCACTTCTGGACCATGAGGAAGCGAAGGCTGGACCAGTGCCAGCAATATGTTGTGTTTGAACGCAGCGCCAAACAGGTGTGTGCTTATCACTGTGTGTGTAATGTATGTGTATGTGTGCACTCACAAGCACAATTTGGAGATAAGACTACAGACAGAGTAAGGAAAAATAAGCTTCCCTCTTAGATGATTGTCTCCTGTTTGAATTGGAACTAAACCAGCAAGTTGACATGTCTCAGTTAGCGTACAGCTGCAACTTCCATCTTGATTTGCCTCTGTTTTTAAAACAAGCAGTCTGTGTTTTCTTAGTAATGATACATTTGAGATATACTGGAAATGATGTAAACTGGCAGATATTTGGAACGATGATAGTCTTGAAGACGGCTATCATTATGTGGCCCAGTAAATCCAAACACTATGTTTATTACAGACCATTGCCAAACATAAGTCTCAACCACTCATTTTACCCCTCAGACAGTAGTGAACATTTCAACCACTGGGATTTTTATTGTAAAGTTTTCCTATGTTTTAGAAGAATAAGAGATCTGAGCTAGAAGTCAAGACATAAGAACACTTGATATTTATCAAACAAGTCTGATCAGCTATTGTTCAAAGATACAAGGACCTATGAGTTTGGATAATACTGTTTTCAGTAGCAGCCAAAATATCTTCACAGCTTGAGTCTTAAACATTGCTACTGGAAACTCTTATTTTTTTTTTTCAAGAAGAGAAGCAAGTTTGAATTTGTGGGACTTAAACTCTTGAATCTATCTTTGTGTGTAAGGTCTAGGGCTGTTTAAATACAAGACACTTTGCTCCCTCTTGTGGTGTTTGGAGAGCACAGCGCAGGCACACAGCAATGCGCTTAGCCAATAAAATCAGATGACATCATAGATGTTTCTAGGACATGGCTATTCTAAGGCGGTCCAGGTTTTATCCCCAGGGCCCAAATGCTTTCTGGTCTCACAGTTGGACTGGTCCAGTTCTGTCACGGCTGGGTATAAAGCAGACATTTAAAAGACTAGAAACTAATTGACCTTTTGAAATGTGATGCTAGAAATTAATGAATATGTTACGTTTTTTATGTTTTGAGGTGTTAAGTATGTAAACTTGTGTCATTAAGATATAATTTCTTTATCATATTGTTGTTTCTAAAATTATATGGATGTCAACTTTAATTAAATAATAAATAAAATCTTAAATTTTCATGAATGGGAAATTCTGGTACGTAAACTGTACAGTGGAAAATCAGTCCAAATTTGAACAAATGCCCCACTGGATAGGAGAAGATAAAGTGTTTAATAATACAAAGTACCCCTTTAATTTTATTGTAGTTATAAGAGTTTCAAGTGCACCAGCTTGTACCAGGCCTTCAGATTTGGACAGTTAATAGTCACTGTGTCAAATTGTGTAACTAAAATCCCTGCAGTGTTAGCATACTCACTAATGATTGGTTGTTTCCTCAGGCCCTGGAGTGGATCCATGACACTGGGGAGTTTTACCTGTCCACACACACATCCACTGGCTCCAGCATTCATCACACACAGGAGCTACTAAAAGAGCACGAAGACTTCCAGATCACAGCAAAGGTACGTGTGTTTATGTTTATTTGTCAGTCTATTACTGTGTAAAAAAAAAAAAAGGTAGGAGGATACAAAATGTATGCGCGGATTTTTGTGTGTGTGTTTGCACAGACCTGTGCTCTGCTGTGAGGCCCATTCCCAGGGCAGTGTATTGTCCTCTTTCCTCATTGCTGTGTCACTGTTATTGTGTTAGAGAACAAGCCATTGTGTCCAACAAGCAACACACTGATTCCTAACTCTCTCTCTCTTATCTACCTTTCCTCCACCGGCACTGCCGGCCATCTCTCTTCTGTCTCTATCCCCTCCCTAAATGTCTCTCTATTGACAGCAAACCAAAGAGCGGGTAAAGCTGTTGATCCAGCTGGCGGATGGGTTTTGTGACAAGGGCCACGCCCATGCCCTGGAGATAAAGAAATGGGTGTCCTCGGTGGACAAGCGCTACAGGGACTTCTCTCTCCGCATGGACAAATACCGAACCTGCCTGGAAACGGCGCTCGGCATTTCTTCCGATTCCAACAAGGCCGTAAGTGCACACTATTGATAATAAACAAAGAAGAATACAGATATCAGCTCTATTCTTTCTAATATGTTTTGACAAACTATTCATATGCGTTATGCTAAACCTTTGGGTTAATACTGTATAATGAAAGACCATAGAGCGATACAGTATATGTCAGGCACAGTTTATAGTAATAAGGATATAACCTTGGCCTCTAAGTTTTCTAGTGTGAGATTAAAACAGAATTATGTTTATGTGATTAACTTAATCATACAAACTATGCCTGGCTTTAATGTTATTGTAGTTGTGAAGTGTAAGTGTAGGAGCTTGCACCAGGTGGTCAAATGTAGATAGATACTGGATCAGTGCATGATCCTATGTAAACTCCATCTCCCAGCCGTTCGTTTTAATGAACTGGTGCTAACAGAAAGCAAGTACATCACACATTGGTGTTTGACTAGTGAATGACCACCATGCCTGTTGTGTGCAACATAAAAGCCACTGTGTCCTTTTCAGAGTAAAGAGCTGCAACTGGACATCATCCCGGCCAGTGCTCCAGGGTCAGAGGTCAAGTTGAGGGATGCTGCCCATGAACTCAACGAGGAGAAGAGGAAGTCAGCACGAAGGAAAGAGTACGTGCAACAGCCATTTCCCTGGCACACTCTCTCCTGATCACCACCTGATGTTCAGCATCACAGGTTTCCTACACAGGCCTGGAAAAATGCCCAGATGAATAATTCAATAATTTTCTGCAAACATATAAAACATATTATTTTTTAGTGTGATTAGCATTGTAAAGCTGCAGCCAGGCTTTCATTTCAAATTGCTAGTGTTAGTGATAATGTGTAGTGTAATGTCAAATTACCCAGAGAACATGACCACATCACAGTGAACGCTGCAATCTTCGAATCCATTCAACTGTGTAAACAAATAGAGATGGAATTTTGCATGTGAGCAGTAATGTGCCTTATAAGCATTTATCACAAAATGTTTCAGTGGTCTTGATGTCGTATAGATTATCTGTGCTACGTTTTAAATGTTTATGGGGGAAATTCGTACAGGAGGGGGCCCATGAACAGCCTGTAAAATGCTGTACATATGTCTACAAGCCATATGTGAGCCATACGGGGATTAAAATGCATTCATTTCCCATTCACATACAGCAACGGCACTGTTTGTCTAATGCCTAGAAGACATGCTATATTAGAGATAGTAGAGTTGCTTGGGATTCAATTAGAGTAATAAATAGTCCAAAATGCTACCACCTACTGTAACAGCAGGCTGTTTTTTGACTGTAGGTCATAATATGAAAACCACACATTCTCTTTGCTCTTTTTTAAAATTATTTTCTTTAATTAATCTTGTATATTTTGATTTAACCTGTACACACCACAGGATTTTGTTTTATCTATATTTGGTCAACAAAACCACGTGACCATGTTCATCAGTGTCTCCTCTCCCGATGTGCATTTCCTTTCAGGTTCATAATGGCTGAGCTGATTCAAACAGAGAAAGCCTATGTCAGAGACTTAAGGGAGTGTATGGATGTAAGTAGTGTAACACACACACAGATATTTACCTTAAAAAATGGTTTCATTTCCTGACTTTTAGTGCATTGACTCTTTATTGCCTTTGTGTGTGATTTCTTTTTTTAAATGTCTTAGTTTTTATTTATTTTCCTTTAAAATCTGTTACATTTTACTTTACTTACGCACAATTTCAGTAAGTGAATAATTGAAATATGTGATGTAATGATCAGATCTCAAATTGGACGAGTTGGCACAGAGAGATTTCTAGGTTTTAATTAATTATGCTCTGGTGTGTTATGCAGACGTACCTATGGGAGATGACCAGCGGTGTGGAGGAGATTCCTCCTGGTATTGTCAACAAGGAACACATCATCTTTGGAAACATGCAGGACCTCTACGAGTTTCATCACAAGTCAGTAGAGCTGTGATCTGCCACAAAAATCTGTATTCTTTACCATGAACATCAGCTAATTTAGTTGTTGAAATCTGTTTAGTGGAAATCTTTAAATATACAAAATTTGTTCCTCATCTTATGATTTTTCCTTCTTTAAATCTTTCTGTCTCTGTACAGTATCTTCCTGAAGGAGTTGGAGAAGTATGAGCAGCTTCCAGAAGATGTCGGCCATTGTTTTGTGACTTGGGTAAGAGACATAAAAGTTATGACTTTTTTTTATATTTGTGTTACTGAGCTGTGCTTATACTTTTACCCCTTTAGATACCAAAACATGTGCAGTACTCAAGGCCTAAAGAGTATTAATTTTTTTTCCTAAAGTTGTTGTTTAGCATCTAAGACTCTTGATATCCTGTCAGTAAAGTACTTTTTCCTGCTCAGGCTGATAAGTTCCAGATGTATGTAAACTACTGTAAGAACAAGCCTGACTCCACCCAGCTCATCCTGGAACATGCTGGACCCTACTTTGATGTGAGTACACTACTTACCCAATACTATTAGTGTGTCAGGTACACAAATTGGAATTAAATAAAAACATCTAAAGGTTAGCTCTCAAGATTTGTCTTTGCCATACCTTCTGTAAGAGCTTTCTGTTTGCCTTTTTGATTAACAGGAAATCCAGCAAAGACATCGCCTTGCCAACTCCATCTCTTCTTACCTGATCAAACCAGTCCAGAGAATCACTAAATACCAGCTCCTTCTCAAGGTACAGCATCCCTTAAAATAAATATAAAAGGAAGTATATCCTCTCAGACATTATTCACTTTTTACAGGGAAAAATGCACTCAATAGGATCTTTAACCTCTACAAAATAATTTATGCGTTCTTCTTCATTTAAACGTCACTGTGTGTATGTCTCTGGGTGATTGTAGGAGTTGTTGACATGCTGTGAGGAGGGTAAAGGTGAGATTAAGGATGGTCTTGAAGTGATGCTCAGTGTCCCCAAGAGAGCCAATGATGCCATGCATCTCTCTATGCTGGATGGTGGGTATATCCAACCACACACATACACAGTACACACCCTCAGACACACAAGCCTCTGCTATCCATGGACCTCACATCATAGTTAACTGTGCAACCACTCATTGAGTGTGTTCTGAGTGTCTAATGTTTCCTATTAATTCAACATTCACTTTGCTTTTGTGAATAGATGCACGTCACTTACTTTTAGCACAGCGTTACTCAGCTGTGACTCATCAATAACTGCATTCAACTTCCTTTTGTTTGCCACCCACAAAGATGTTTGTACATACTGTACACACTAAAGTTGCTTTTTTCCCTCCTCCCCCCTCACTACCACAGGGTTTGATGGGAACATTGACTCCCAGGGAGAGTTGACACTCCAGGAGTCCTTCCAGGTCTGGGATCCCAAGACTCTGATCCGGAAGGGTCGAGACCGGCACCTCTTCCTCTTTGAGATGTCCCTGGTCTTCAGCAAAGAAGTAAAAGACTCCAACGGGCGCAGCAAGTACCTGTACAAGAGCAAGCTCTTTGTAAGTAATGTACTGTTTTATCAAACTGGGTTGTTTCTTTTTGTCTACCAATTACGGCAGCTGAGAAGTCAATTAAGATGTACTATGAAAGTAACTGGGGATATATATGGATGATGTTAGGAAGCTGTGGATGCATCGAACATAATGCTAAAAGCGCAAATTATCATGAGACATCAGAGTATAGTTGTTTTATATACTGTATACCTATGATTATAGTTGTACATTTCTGTGTATTGATTGCCTAACCAAAGATGCATTTTGCGTTGCTCAGGTTATCAGACTTTTTTTTGGGTCGGATCAGGTTATGTTGGGTGAAAATTCAAGTTCTAGAGTTGTGTAAAGTTAAGACTCAGTTTGTTTCAGGATTATTCTCAGCTGGAAGACCACTATGACTACATGTTTTATTTTGACATAATTGTTTGTTTATGTATCATGTGGATTTATTTACATGTTATTCATCCCCTTTAGACATCAGAGCTTGGAGTGACAGAACATGTGGAGGGAGATCCTTGTAAGTTTGCCCTGTGGGTGGGCAGGACCCCAACCTCGGACAACAAGATCGTCCTCAAGGTATCAAAATGTTGATTTGAGTGGAGAAGATAAAGGGGCAATGTTTGGTCACTGCATTCATATTTATATTAGGAATGTTTTTCCTTTTTTTCTTTTAAATATTTCACAGTATCTGATAGAAATGATCAAGTTAGAACTGAGGACCAAAATATTTTTGCTTCATAAAGAGCTTCAGTTCCACTTCCGGTACTGTAAGTGTAAAATAGACCCCCATATGATTCCCCTTCTGCAAGAGTAGTCAAGTTGTGAAAAAGAAGAGTCACTCTGTAGCTGTAGTCCACCCCCATTACAACCTACATAGGTCCCTCTGTTCAGCCAAGAAAGTTCACTCCCTGTAGGTGTTTGGAATGTTAACTTTCTGCTACTTATTCACTCGTCACACGGAACCATTAGCATAGCAGTTGATAGGTCATAATCAAAACTCACTTGCAACTTGGTAGTTCTCACGCAGTGAGTCAGAAGCAATGTTTTATGCAGGGTGTGTGTAGATGTGTGTTTGTTTTTGAAACTTACAGAGAGAAAGACATTTGTGGACTGTAGATCCCGGTGTATGTGTTACGACGTGTGAATGTGTGCTTTACAGCTATCTGTTTTATTGCATAACTTCTAATGGCCATCCTAATCTTGGTCTTATGTAACACGGTGCCACAGCAGCCTTGGTGCTTTTAGTTGCCAAGGGAAGGATGAAGAGGAGACACAGTCTTATGCACAATATGGTGTCGTGTCGCATTGGCACGGTGACGTATATACCAAGGAGGCTGACAATAAATGTCCATATTTCTCTCTGTTGAACCCTAAGTGGTGTTCAGGAGACACCGTTGTCATCATTACACATTGTGTCTGAATATGTGACTCAAGTACAAGATTGCGTTGATCAAAGCACTCATGTGGGATCTGACATAACTATATAATTGCTAAATTAAACCTCATGCTGTGTTATAGGTCAGCAATTCCTTCATTCAAGCCAAGTGAACGGAACAACTGCTTTTATTTTTCTCCGCTTCTCACATCTCTTCTTGCTGATTTAAAGTTCTGTCTGTGTCTGTATGTGAAAAACCAGAAAAAGAGACACTTGGCTACACTGCTGACATGACAGCTTTAACACAGAACCTGTTAATCATTATCCTACTTAATTATGTGTTGTGTCCCAGGCTTCAAGTATTGAGAACAAGCAGGACTGGATCAAACACATTCGGGAGGTCATCCAGGAACGAACTGTGCACTTGCGTGGAGCTCTGAAGGAGCCCATCCACATCCCTAAAGCTACTACAACTAAACATAAAGGCAGACGGTAAGTTGTGTAATACTCTAAACTGAGATTTTTGTTAAATTTCAATGTGCTATAAATATTCAAAAATAAGTACTGTAGTAAGTTTAAAAACTCTTCTAATCAGTTCTCCTATAATGACCATTAAAACTATAACTGGCAAAGCTTGAATTACCATTGCAACCATGCTGGAGAAAAATAAAAGTAACACTACAGGGCAAGAAACATCCCAGGATCCATTCTGTTTTCAATAAACAGTAACCAAGATTTCCAGTAAAATGTAATTATTATTAATAGTATTAATGGAATGGCTGTAATGATAACATTGTCTTCCTGCAGGGATGGAGAAGAGCTGGACAGCCAGGGAGATGCCAGCAGCCAACCGGATACCATCTCCATCGCCTCACGCACATCCCAGAACACACTGGACAGTGATAAGGTAGGAACACACACCCACACACACACACAAGCTCCAGGCATTCTTCATACCCAAAATGTACCAGGCAGCACTTTAGAGATACACAAGATAGACAATTTATCTGTGTTATTTTATTTTCCCCTTCACGTGTCACACTATTCAGTTCATTCAGTATGTAGCCTCTCTGTCATTGGTCCATATCAAGCCATCACACGGTGACGTGCTCGTCGGAAACTGATGCAACTTTCCTCAAGTTGTTTCCTGTGAAAGTGTTTGCTTTAAAGCTCTGTCAGATGGACTGTTTTTTCCTCCTCACACAATCAGCATGTGTATGTTTCTTTATGTGTGTGTGTGTGTGTGTGGTGAGAGAGAGAGAAGAGAGAGAGAGAGAGAGAGAGAGAGAGAGAGAGAAAGAATCTTAGCTCACTGGGAACATTCGGCCGTGGTTATATCTGATAATAGCACCACAGAAGGCCTGTCCTCCTACGCTCAGTATGAGCAACTGTAAAGCTAACACACACACACACACCAGCACACATAGATACAAAATATTTCCATACTTTTTTGTAATACTAATTATAAACTGTTGCAGTGGACTCTTACATGAGGTCATTATTTTCACACTTGAGTTGGACTTTCCCCAGCTCGGTCTCATACACTTGAGGAAAATCAGAAAAATAAAGATAATTAGCTTTGCATGTTCACTGTCACTGTTCAGTTAACCGGTAGCATACAGTTCAGCTCTGTGGTTGTTTCACACAACATAAAACCAAACTGTTAAGGTGAGGAGGTAAGCAGTTTGTGTCTGTGTTCATGAATTAATTAAGTCATTGTTCCCTCAGTTAAGGACACACTCCCATGCGTAAATATTCAAAACACACAATAACGCATGCAAGTATAAATTCTGGGTCTCATTCTCACTTTTCAAAATGATTCTCTCTATCTCTCTCTCTGTGAGAGCTCTCATTCAAGAGGCAGTGACAGTGGTGTGTTTGTGTTAGAGTGTGTGTTTGTGTGTGTCCCCGTGTTCCTATGTGTCTCTATGCTTTAGTGACTGACTTGTGTGTCAGCAGCTTCAGCCTCCCACACTCTCTTCACAGAGGATGCTCGACTGTATGCCAGACAGGAGAGCACAGTTTTAAGTCCTCACAGCTATCGATCTCACACTTTGCTTCAAACATACAAATATTCAGGCAACCACTATGTTGTTTTTTTTCCTCTGACTTTCTTGTGCGTTTTTTTTTGTTGATAAATGGACACTAGCGAGCTAAATTGTGGCAATATTTGTTTAAAGACGAGGATGGATTAACTGCTCCGCTTCGGGGACGGGACACACGACAGGGAATCATTTAACCTTCAATAGCCTGATTGTAAGCACCCACAGAGGAGTGCTGTTGACAGCAGCAACTTTTCTTCTGGCCTTTGGATGTTCTAATGGATCAGGACTGTAATTATCTGTGGCTGTTTTTCCCAAGGGAAATATTCCATAAAAAGTTAAATCAATTTTACTATTTTCTAGATAACTTGTGCTTATCTAGGAAGCATTTTCTTGTTGTAATTTAGGACAGTTTTAGTGGATTGCTTTCGAAATCAGATTGCTTTAGAAATCAGATTGCTGTAGAGTTTTTTGTCTCTTTGGGACTTCTCTCGCAATGAGGGAGTGGAAAACAATGGAAAAGCTGGAGGACAGGAATTCACATCCCGTTTCTCAGCTCCTCAGCTCTCTGGCTTTACCACACTACCAAAGGGTATGTTGCAAATAATGTCCTTTGGTATTTGAAAAAAAGCACTATTGTGACATTTACACAGAGAACATATTTGAAATTATTCATGCAATCTATTTTAGTTGTAAAGGACACAAGAAACATGCAACTTTCAACACTATGAATAAAGAATATATGTACAATTTTAGTAGCTGTAAAAGCATTGAAAGCATGAAATGTGAGAATAATTTTAGTATGCTGGGTATGTAGCTATTATTAACTGTATGACTAATGAATAACTCATGTATAAGACTTTGTTCATCTGCCATTAAGTCACATTTAATATAAATGTTCACAAGATGACTGAAATCATTTAAGGTTTTCAAAATTTTACCATGGAGTACATGAACTGAAACTGCTTTCTTTATAATAAAAATACAGACTTGCAAACAAGTTGCAAACTGCTTCTGATTACATATTAAGAACTTGAAACATGAAACATGAAGTTGTGTAAGATCTTGCGCTGTGCACACAATAGAGGACATTACACATTATTGGACATTGTATATACTTTTGTATTTCATATTTGTACAGTAATAGAATTTGTGCACTCTCTGGGGTACTGTCGCTGTATATCTTTCACTTGTGAGCTCAGGTGATTTCTGTAAGAATTCAAAGTTTTAATAGCAACAAACAGCTGCATTTTCAGTTATGTGTAGAATTCCTCCTTGTTCTCCCCCTATCCAATAATGCCTTTCTTCATAGACACTGGGATGATCAGAGTAGGAACGTCAGAGTGACGTTTTGTTTAGTTGTGCTAGAATGAGTCGCCAATCATCAGTGCATGTACACTTTTGCTTTACGGTGCTGCTGGAGTACCAGTGCTGTGAACCAAAGATGTTGTGTGGGAATATTTGCTTTTTGTTCTCAGAGCTCATTAATTCCATCTCAAAATTCTCTATCTATTCTCTATCTCAAATTATTTTAAATATACTTCTGTTAAGATTATTAAAATGCAGGAGAAATCTGAATCTGAATCTGACTGCACACTGGCCCTGAATCCCAAGGATTCTCATTCCTCCTCTGTCAATTTAGCAGCAATCTAAATGCAGTTTATTACTACACACAAGCTTACTGTATTTAGGTTCACATTTTTTTGTTGTATGACTTATTTATGATATGATTATGATATAATTGAGAGACTATATTCATGATTTGTGCAAACGTGAACAGTAGCAATAAAATCAACAAATATTTAAAAAAGTTTTACTGATGAAGATCAATACGTTTTCACAGACGTCACTTCTGTCCTTCCATTTTAGCTGTCCGGTGGCTGCGAGTTGACAGTGGTGATCCATGACTTCATGGCCAGTAATGGTAGCAGCAGTGGGGAGCTGACAGTACGCAGAGGCCAGACCGTGGAGGTTCTGGAGCGACTCCATGACAAGCCAGACTGGTGCCTGGTGCGGACCACAGACCGCTCTCCAGCCCAGGAGGGCATAGTACCGTGCTCCATGCTCTGCATTGCTCACTCCAGGTCCTCCATGGAGATGGAGGGTCTCTTCAACCACAAAGGTAGGAGGACATTGTTTCCTTGAATTTTCATACCCACAAGTTTGTTTTTTTATGCACATTTGGACACTTTGGAAGAACATTCAGAAAGCTAATTGGATGCATTTCAGGTTTTGAAGCAGCAAGCTGGCCCACAGTATCTTGTTATCTCACCCAACAACTGCTTGCCACATCCATGCACTCATAGACACTTAAAAAAACAGGGGAAGCTAATAGGTTGTATTTCTTGTTTGCAAACATAGCATTGGTGACTTGCAAAACCTTCACTTCTCACCAAACAGCTGCTTGGGGAATTACATGTATTTCTAGGTGTTGCTATGCAACTGTGGAAAACTTGCTAGAAGCACAGCTTTCATTTAATCATCTTGAAATAATTTTAACCTTTGGATTCCCAGCCCTGTTTACAGATCTCATTACTGTGAGAAACCCTTATTTTGTCTTAAACATGCAGCAGCATGCATCCTCCATTGTAACAAGCATAAATATTAAACAGCCTTTTGAAGGTGGAAGATATGATGTCAGAATCTGCATCTGTTGTCATGCCCAAAGGGTCTTATTAAGACGAGTCAATAATGTGGTTCCCAAGGTTATTTCCACAGTCTATTTGTGTTAATATCACACCAGCTCTGGTTACAGCAACAGAAATATAATTATATAATTACCAACACACAAGATAAGTCTTGTGTATATATACTTGAATTTGGAGATAAGAAAAGAGGATACAACTTTGAGCACAAATCTGGCCACCCTATTGAAACAAAAATGTATTTCATAACATCCATATGGTGGTTCATGACAACATGTAAGATTCATTTAACAATATCGCCCAATTTTGAAAATTGATAAAGGGTCATAGCCTGCTAGTTCTTAGTATTCAATATAAAACATTTTCTTGATAACCGTAATGCTTGCAGGCCTGATCATGTTGGGTGTGTCTTGGTAAATCCATTCCATCTTTTTGTACTCCCATCATTAAAACTCAACCTCTGACAAAGACATAGCAGCTGCTCAGGTGGCTACTATTGGTATTCTTGTAGTGGTGATGGGTTTCTTAATCCAGTTGGTATGGATCATGTCAGACCCCGCTGCTATGGAGTACCATATTTTTGTGAACTGTTGTTAGTAGTGATAAACGGTGGTACACGGTTGATTGGGACGATTATTTGGCATGTTGAGATAATCGGCATCAGCCGATGTCTGTGCTAACAAGGCCAATAAATAAAACATGTCTTCAGACATGCTCTTGTGAATTTTGGGAAGGTGGAGAAAAAGTTAGTTTCAAGTGCTGTACTACACAGCTTTTAAGCGTCCTGCATATGCCTGAATTTCCTATAGAACAGAGTAGAATTGTACATTGATTTTCTTGGTTTTGATATCGGCAGCCCATCTCTATATTTGCATTGGCATCGACCATCGAAAATCCCATATAGGTCCACTAGTTGTTAGATCTGCTACTGTGATGATGGCTGATTCCTTCATTGTTTTGCGTTCTGAGCATCAGCTCCTGGTATGATGCAATGATATCTGCTGATTTATCTCACTGAGCCTAGGCAGTCAGGGCTGATTGGAGATTTCATTCTATTTTATCTCATGTCTGCACCTTGGCCATGTAAGGCATTGCTGACGATCTCATCTCAAATTCTGTATACATAGGCAAATATATAGTATGTATACTACGTATCTTTATCCAAGTAACATAGAATAATTATAACAAACAGAAGAGAGTGAGTGGAAGGCGTTCTATACACAGACCTGACCCTTATTTGACACTGAGTTATGAGCTGCTGTCATCGCATCTTGACAGAAGTTTCAGCTTGTGCCTTTCCCTCTTTAATCTGGAAGAGTGGGTGCGAGCTGTACTGCTTGTTTCTATGGTAATTTAGTATACAAATATTTTCTTGGCAGCCTCTGTGATAGACAGTATGAGATCTGGTCTGCATTTGTATTTAAAATTATAGGATGCTTGGACTGTACATACAGGAACTCACAACTTTGGAATTAGCTGAATGATTTACTAGTACGGCACAGGAACAAGGGTAGAACTACTTATTTTACACTTTTAACTGCAGCTTCACTGTTTTTATCTGGCTTCCCTTGCTCCCTTGGTTGTGGTTGTGTGTTTGGGTGGCCAGAGGGAGTAATGAAAAGGGGATTCTCACTGCAGGGGTTGATGTGGTCAAGAAAAGGCTGTTGCTGAGGAGGAGGAAGACAAGGATGACAAAAAAAAAAATACTTTGCTACTTTGTCAGCCTTTTGTGTTTACTGACCAGCCATGTAGGCCACTTTGTACAAAGTTGTGGAAGGGTGACGGTTTAGGGGATTAGTGTTCTCTGGGAAATCTTCCCTTTTCCTGCTGTGTCTCACAACCAGGAATAATTGACTGTTGGAGGCCAATGTCTGTGTCTGGAATAACAGAATAGAATAGGTGGTTCACATTCAGTAGGATTAGCCTGCAAAGTGTAAAGCTGGCAGCTGGTTGTCTGCTCTGATTATAGGATGTTTAGTGCGAAATAACAGTTGTTCAAATCTATAGTATGTGGTCAGTGTGTGTGTGTGTTTTCTAAATGTTAAATGAAGTGTGTTGTTGCTAGCTGCTGGAACCTGTGTAAACCTACACATTCCTGTTAAATTGCATTTAGAGGCACTTCTACCTACACGCTAATCACATTTCCAGTTTGATTACTGGAATTCCCCCATTTACCAAAATATGCAGGTTGACTCTCAGAATGAAAAAAGTACTAAAGTACTCACTTAATGACAGTGTTATTGATAAAAGGACTCTGTAAGGAGCCAAGAATAAGTGCAGGAGGTGTATGTACAAGTGTGTACGTGTTTGTACAGGAAAGAGTGTGTTTAGTACCCAGGGAGACACACACACACAACCATACACACTCACAGTTAAGCAGGGAGGTCATTGTGCAATGTGTGTGTCAGATGAAGTGAAGATGTAGCAAATAGAGTTAAATGTTGCATATATACAGTAGTAATTGCAAAACCCAGACTCTTGAGATTCTGAATTGTAGAAATTATGTGCAATTTGTAACCAACCACTCACTATGACAGTAGGAGCATTTTGCTGTTCTCTTCATTTCATAACCAAGTCTATATTTGTTCCAAGCATACTGCACAACTTGTATGCATCCTAATGCCTGTAAAATATGCACCCGCCCACGCAAAGTGAGTGGGTGCTTCTACAAAGGGTAATACGGTAGATGTGCTACATGTTTACAGACATCCCCTTGAAAAAGGCGAGGCACAGTGGAGGCTTGCCCAATATCCTCACAGCAGCCCACTCATGAGGGAGGGAGGGAAGGAGATACAAAGAGAGAGGGAGAGAAAACATCCTACTCTCTAATGCTGCATTTGACTTTTTCCGCACACTGGACTTCACACTTTCTTTCCCTGGAATTTCAGCGACATAGTTACTGCAGAATTATTTTTACTTTGAACTATAAGTTGGGTTTTGAATAGAAATTTTTAGTCAGTTGTCGTACCTGCAGAGATGCTGTGAGGGAATATTTCAAGTCAGAATTCCAGAGGGTTGATATTTGACTGACATGGCTCGTGGAATCGAGTCCTTGGTGTCTCTGAACCCATTTTGCTCCATGGATTCAGCACAGGGAGAACACTCAGACAACTGCAAATTCTGGCTGCTGGACCTGGGTAGGTGCCTCGATCATGTGTCATGAGGAACGACATAATGTGTGGGACACAAGTAATTTTTATTGCTCTTCTGCTTATCTAAACAAACAGTATTTCTATGTCAGGGTAAGTTTTACTTGACAAAACACCAGAGTTTGATCTAGAGATTGTAACTAGACTATTTGGTTGCTATGTGGAGATAAAATTGATAAAACTGTTTTTGAATACTATACAGTAGAAAAAGACTGTAAAGTTGAGAATGAGAAATGACATAAGTGATAAGTTCTGTTTTTCATCTTATTTAAATTAAGCTGAAAAGAAAATGTAGTGATAAAATCTATTTTAGACTATGCTTCTGATTGTATGACATAAAGGCGCAGTGTTTGCTCTAAAAGCATGCAGAGTCAACCAGTGGGATTAGAAATACAATTGTTTCAGGTGTAGAACTACAGTTTTTTTTCTTCTTTGACAGCCTGTCTTTCTTTGTTGTAGATTCTACATCGGCTATTTACAAATGGGTTTAACGCTGAGGGCATTCACTAATCAAGTGTGGATTATGTGTGGCATTATGGTATTGGAAGTAATTTGGTGAATGCACTGTTACGTGATTATATATTAAATCTACTGAAATTACTTTGACAAGATTATATCTGTATGCCTGGCCAGGCGAGCTCAGCACAGATGGGCAAAGGGTGTTATTCTAGACCCCATGGAGAAAATGAAATAATGAGGTCAAATAAAATAGGAAAATGAGGAGCTTTTTACATTGCCAATACTTTTCTGTTTAAAGTTGACAGTTGTTGACAGTTGTTGACAATGTGTAGCTGGTTGTCTCTAAATTCCCCTCTCTAATATTCCCCATCCCAACTCCACGCCCTTCCTAACTATGGCTGTTGGTGGCATTGTCCACATTTTTACAGATCAGCTCGCCCAAATCCCCTGGAGCTTTCCCACACGCTGTACCTCCACCGCTAAACGCTTGTCTCCAACCACACTGACTGATGTTTGTGTGCATCTGTCTGTTTGTATCACTTATCCTGGGGAACATAAGACCACACGAAAGATGCTCCCCTGGTGACACCTCTGGAATCCCAGGCATGCTTCTGTGGAGCTGTGCAGACTTTTGGGATCACTCCAGTTGTACAACAGCCCCTCCCCTCCCTCCTATTCTGAGACATGGGCACACACACAAAGTTGTAAATCTAGCATGTTCTTTGCAGTAGCATGGATGAGCAGTGACTGAATTATGGTAGCTTGCTTATAAATTAGCAAACATCTAGCAGTGGAGAGCATCTGGTGGACTCTTGGTGGGTCTCGTCTCAGAAATATCAGCCCACAGAGTTAAACTGAGATAATGTTATTTTTCTGAGGTCTTTGCCTTTGTAGTACTGTGCTTTTGTATGTTTAAGCAGATGGTGGAGGCAGTTAGTCAATATTTTGAAGTTTGAATGTCTGCACATTTATGTATTAAGTACACACTTGCAGTTTGTACCATATGCAAAACACAAATGCTACATGAAGATATAGAAGTGTATGACCTCTATGATCATCACAGTCGTATCAATTGAATGATGTGCCTTTGATGCAAAATTGCTCTGGACACAGAGACGCCATTCCTAACTGAGTCAGGATAATCATTTTAGCCAAGATTAACATATTGCTAGACATTTCAAAGTCCACTGTGGGCAATCTGTCTTCAAATTCTCAAATGTTTTTCAGAAAATCATGTTGACTATAGCAAAGGTGAGAGATTTAGATGTAGATGTATACAGGAGATGCAGAAATTTGTGTGTAAACCTGAGGAAATACAGCAGTTTTTTCCTCCAGGTAAGGACAACGTCAAGACAAACTGAATAACCCACTTAAGAACTTAAGAAGCCTCTTGGATGAGTAATTAAACATCTTCATATATTCTATTTCAGTCCAGTGGATTATTCATTTTGTCTTGATGTGTATATATAGAATTATACGGTATGTTCATAAATTAATTAAGTTTAATCTTCTCAAAAAGCATAGCTTATTTCTGTGACTCAATATTAATACTCAATATAAAAACAGTGATTATGTGAGGAGGACACCCTTGTGAACAAACTATGTCCCCCATTTTTGTTTCCCATGAGTGAGAACCTGACCAGCTGTTCCTGAGGTGTCTCCACAATGAAAAACACCCTGCAGGGCAAAGGACAAAGGTCGTGCCTTCTGTGTGTGTATGTGTGTCTCAAGGGTTATTTTCTACTGAGGAGGAATGTGTCGAGGCTGCTGACCCCATGTTTCATCCATTTACACCCCTGTTAGCACAACCTCCTCAGTCAGAGCATGTAGATAGCGCCAGATGCTCATCTAACTGTCAAAGTATATTCATTTATTTTTTTTGCTTTTATCCATGGTTCAATTATTACTGAAGCTATAATATATATTCATGTCCATTTATGAACTTATCTGAAATTTAAATGTGTCACTAGTAAAGCCTATTCTCTGCCAAATTTATGTAAAAATTGTAATTTGATTTTATGATTATTGAATTATTGAGGCAGCATTCCCTTACAACCGGGACCACAAAGGCAACAATCTCAGTTTTACATTTTGTATAGTATCTGAATGACATTCAAGAGGATAAAAGTAATTTTTTCTCACCATAAATCCAGTTGGTGTGACTTGACAGGGTAAAATATTTGTCTGCTTTACTTGCCCTGCAGCCTCTGATGTAATAGCTGAGATGTACTTGCTAACAGCATGGTTACATGTTAGGTTGTGACCCCAGCGTGTCTCCGGTCTGTTTGCTCTACATGAAAAGTCCTGACTGCTCCCTGGTTCGTTCCCTTTGAAAGCACTTTGAATTTCCACCTAAGTGTTAAGTCATGTGCACAAGGAGATGGTGTGAGCTGTAGATTGTCAGTGTTGTCTGTCATTTATAATAAATGTAGCAGAAAGGGGCCTGAAAACGATAGTTGTGTGATGCTTTAGTGTCCACTCACAGTTATTCACCCAAAGTATTCAACACTTTAACTTTAACACCCTAATAATTCAAACGTATAGTCAACTACACCTGTACTTTCTGATTTTAATATAAATAAGCATCAATATACAGAACTCTTAAAGGAAGGTTTTAATAGTCCTCTGAGAGCAATAATAGTAAATGCTTAGGTATTCTGTGTCATCAGAATTACAGCCTTACATAGGCCCCAATGATTGTATCCATGACTAAAACATTCCAGTATCGTAACAAACAGTTGGGACGGTTGGTTTTTTCATTTGGTACTGCAGGGGAGATGGTGCAGGCAGGTAAAATTGCACAGTTCCCCCAAAATAAATACTAAAGAGTGAGATTTCATGTAAAGATTTGTGCCAACAAAAGGGATTATCTTCCATCAAATTGCCCTCAAGCGAGACAGACAACACCTCCACTCCTCCTATCTTTAAATATGTGCTTTGGGTGGAATTTATAGATCTCCAGAGCAGTCCAAGCCTCCCCTTTCCTGGGATGGAACAGGATCCGTCTGAATTTCTATCTGATAAAAAATAAATTGCAAGATGAGCACAGGATAAAAAGATGCCTCTACACATTCATGTTATTGTGGCCTGACTCATGGCTAAGAAAAGCTTGCTCTAGGCAGCTTAAGTCTTGCAGAACCAGCGAAAGATCAGGACTATTATCGCTCAGGTTATGCTGAAGATATCTCCAGATGACCTGGGCTTTGTCAGAGTGAGATGGTGAGAGGAGTCTCAGAGAAGATGGCTTCAGAGTCTTAATGTGGGAGATGCTTGTTATTCTGGGAACTGTGCTTTTCTCTTCCCTTGCATGCAATGTGAAAACACATGCTTCGTATCAGTGGAGCGCAGTAAAATTAAGTCTCCCAGAGGCTGAATAACTGACATGCACATTCACATACAGATGCAGTGTCCAATGAGGGAAGGCAGAATTTCCACACCTGCCATTCATAAGAGCCATTCAGGTCACATGGTTTAATCTTTAGCAGCTGCGTCTTTTTAGCGTGAATCTCTCGAACCTTTTACTCTTTAGTCAAGCTGCACAGTTAGTTATATTTCTCAAAAACTAAGATATTGTTTCCTTTTTTTGCAATTAGCTTTGAAGCTCAACAACTCATCATGTGATATGACGCAATTGGAGAACAGTATTGTTCTTGAGTCAGTTCCAGCCGCCATAGAGATGCACTTGTTTTTGCTAATTTGCACAATGAGGACACCATTTTAGGGATTTTTCTAATTTAGTTTAGCCACAGCTCTGATCAGCTTTGCATTTAAAGTGATTGAAAGCATCAGTTTAGGAGCATACTGAGAGGCTTTTATGAGAACTCTGTCCCAGTAGATAATAAGAGCTCCTCATCCTTGGGTGATTGCCAAAGTTCTTCTTCTTTTTTACCTTGTTCTCTTGCATTGGCAGCAGAGTAGGGGATAATCTTAAATCATGCTGTTACCTTTTTTTAATTCTTACAGGAGGTGAAAGGTCTTTTCCAGGGAATGCTGTGTGGTGTCAGAGTTGGTGTCATGTTGCACATTGTGACAGCACACAAAGAAATCCAACCTCGACAATATCACTCCAAGACTACTCAGTCTCATATCTTGTTGAGCCAGTCGAGAGCTTCTGTCGTCTCATTCAGTAGCGTGCAGCTAACTGGTGAGGGAATGTCAGAGCAATGGAGGGGAAAGGGGGTTAGGTTAAAGATAGGAAGGGGAACAGGTCTGGATGAGCAGGCAGGTGAGACAGACCGGTGGATGTATCTTTGAAGTGTTCAGACAAAAGCCTCCAGCATCCCTTTATCCTGTATTATTTTCTTATCGCTCCATTACTAGTCGAAGAAGAGCTTTCCTCCTACAGATTCCCTAAGGAGCCACCCTCAGTGCAAGGAAGAGGCCAGCCTGCCTACTGCACATAACACATACAAACACTGTACAAACAGACAAATGCACGCACAGTTTTATCATATACTGTGTCTTTCCTCAGTGTTCTCTCACTATATGGAAACTCAAAAATGCATACATGACTGTGGTGACTGTAATTGTCGTTTGTTACATACAAGTGATTGATACTGATTAAGTATTTAATTTAATGTCTAAATAGAATTTCAATGCGAAAAAACGGCTGACAACTACATGAGTCTAAAGCAACATAACATGGGTTAGACGTTGTCTAGTGTTAGTCCCTGAATTAAAAGACCTGTCAATCAATGTAAAACTAAAAGGAAGTTCCAATCTTGTGGATCATGGATTATGCCTCTATATTTATATTAATGTAATTATTAACCCCTTCTTTCTTTTCTTCCCCCCAACCTCAGACACCTTGTCTGTATCCAGTAACGATGCCCTCCAACCAGGCTCCAGCCAAACCCTGGGTCCTCACAGCTCACCAGGCCCCAAACGTCCAGGGAACACCTTAAGGAAGTGGCTGACCAGCCCTGTACGGCGGCTCAGCTCCGGCAAAGCAGATGGCCACGTCAAGAAGCTCGCCCACAAACACAAGAAGAACCGTGACGGCACAAGGAAGAACATGGACACAATGCACGGCTCACAGAAGGACTCTGACGACAGTGCAGCCACGCCACAGGACGAGACACTGGAGGAAGTAAGAACAGATAAATCAGCAGATCACTGACCCTGTCTGAACATTCAAAGAGACAGTTTTGGTTCTGACCTACAGGCTGACAATCATTGTCCTCCTTCTCTCTCTACCTAGCGTATGCGTAATGAGGGGCTGAGCAGTGGTACCCTGTCTAAGTCTTCCTCATCAGGCATGCAGAGCTGCGGTGAGGAGGAAGGAGAGGAGGGGGCTGATGCTGTCCCTCTACCTCCCCCTATGGCCATCCAGCAGCACAGCCTGCTACAGCCTGACTCCCAAGACGACAAGGTGGGTCACAAAGGACAATCTAAATAAATGTACACACATACATGGTCATAGACAATGGTATGTAGAAAACACAATGCACTAAACCACCCAAGACAAATCAGGGTTATGTTTTGCATTTAAGCTTTATTGTTTATTATTGTGCTTAATTTTAAATGGGCCTAACACGCTTTTGTTTAATCCGCAATATGGTGGCACGCAAATACAGATATTATGTGCATTATTTGGAGGAGGGTTGATCTTGGATTGTAAATCTAAAGAAACAAAAAATTATTTATTAAATATTGTATTCACATTCATCTTAATTTAAACAGCCACAGTTTTGTTTTTGGTTCCATATAGATGTGTACCAATATCAGTTTACATGCATGCAGCGCTTACAATAGCACAACTAAGCTTTTACTTTGGCACTAATAACTTTTTCTTTTCTTTCTCTTATTTTCTTGATGGTTGCATGTTCCTTCCTTCAGCATTACGTTGATTTCTGTTCTGCTTCTCTTCTTTCCCAGTTTCCCTATCTCTCCATGTAAACCACTTCTTCATCTCCACTTTTTTATTTAACTTTTTTTTCTTGCCTTATTGTTGTCCTATTTCACCAACTAAATGTCATTCCCTTGGAGTGTAATTGTTCTACTGTTGCTGAAGTGAATACTCCATTCTCGTGTTGCTGCAGTGGCGAGGTGTTTGTGGGACTAAATGGTGAATTCCCATTAAGTCTGATTTTGAACAGGGGATCCTTTTAAAACTTTGCCTGCCACTATGCCTCAGACTGGGCTCTGTTGCAGAGGCAAACTTTCTCCAATGGAGTATTTAGCAACATTCTTTGCTGTATATAAGTTGTTTGACCAAACAAGGTGCTTGAAGAACAGTCCAACCCCAGAGCTTGCCCTTGACCTAAACCCACCTCATAACCCTTGTTTCCCTGAGACCAGCCTCTGACTGGCTCCAACTTGGCCCCTAATTAACCCTTTTATTAGGGAGATCACACCCACCAAGTCCATATTTGGACATGTGGAATATCGGGGTCCAAACTCAACAATGGTGAGCCTGATCACATACACAGTAGTAGCCACTGAGAATGTATGACTCCTGTACGCATGCAGCACTGCCAAGTTTTACATTTGTCACATTTTACACCTTAACTGTTAACTTTTCTTTCTTTCTGTCTTCCATTTACTCTCTCTTTTTCAGTCTGCGTCTCGTCTGTCCGCTCGTCCGAACAGTTCAGAGACACCCAGTGCTGCTGAACTGGTCAGTGCCATCGAAGAGCTGGTGAAGAGCAAGATGGTGAGATAGAGATCATAAACAAAACTCACAAGTACAACAAATGTAGCACATTTGTGCACAGAACGATTCTGATAGATTAATGAACAAGCACACACACTTTTTCTGGTGTTGTTGACAGAGAATGGCATCATGGCCTACTAGTCATCTGTCAGGATTGTGACTCACTATGCCAGCTGTCCAATGTTCCAACAAATGGGCATTGCACTCTGGCCAATATCCCCAACATACACATGCCCACTGGCCTGCATACAGGAGAGCACAAACACACAACATTCCACTGTCCTCCTCTTTCCTCAGTCACTGGAGGATCGCCCCAGTTCTCTGTCAGTAGAGCAGGGCGACAGCAGCTCTCCCTCCCTCAACCCCTCCGACAACTCCCTCCTCTCCTCCTCTTCGCCCATCGATGAGGTGGATGAGCGCAAGTCTGGCTTCTTCAAGAGAAGACAGTGAGTTATAAGCCCACGTCTTGTTAGTGTTTTCATAAACAAAAGCTACTTGAGTTCAATCAGTTAATCATGTTTGTCTTCATTTGTGTGCTTATATGGAACATTTCTGATGTTCATCCACAGCTGAGTGCATTACATTAGTATTACACAGTGACAATTTCTGTTTTGTGTCTCTCAGTTATGTGCTTCTGGAGCTGGTGGAGACTGAGAGGGACTATGTCAGAGATCTTGGATCAGTGGTGGAGGTAAAAAAAAAAATTGTTAAAAGAATCTTTACATACGTTTGTAACATATGATTGTTTTTTGATGAGTGCTGTATGTTTTATAAATGAGTCAACCTTCCTCCCCTTAGGGTTACATGAGCAGAATGAAAGAGGAAGGAGTTCCAGATGACATGAGAGGAAAAGACAAGATTGTTTTTGGAAACATACATCAGATCTATGACTGGCACAAAGAGTATGCTGGCAGTCTTCTTTGTTAACATACCCTTCAAATTCCACTACCCTAAGGACCATGTTCCTCGGGAGGTTAAAGCATGTGTTTGTCTCTCAATTGGTCTGCAGTTTTTTCCTGGGAGAGCTGGAGAAGTGTTTGGAGGATCCTGACAGGCTGGCTCCTTTATTTGTCAAACAGGTAAGAAATCTGTTCACATTTGTCTTGCATTACGTTTTTCCGTTGAAGGATGCTTAGAACATTTTATTGTATTCAAAAGAAAGTCATGAAATTATATTTTCTGTCATATTTTTTTACACTTCTAAAAGCAACTTTTGTCTTCTGGTTATCTTTGCAGGAGCGGAGGCTACACATTTACATCGTGTACTGCCAGAACAAACCTAAATCTGAGCACATTGTATCAGAGTACATTGACACTTACTTTGAGGTAAGATTGTTGAAACCATTTTACACCTGCCCAAACCTACAGAATGTTTTCATTGTTGTATTGTCCAGGTAATTAGTATTTCCTAAAGTTAATAATATTTGTATCTTTCCTCAGGACCTAAAGCAGCGATTGGGCCACAGATTGCAGATCACTGACCTGCTAATCAAACCTGTCCAACGTATAATGAAATACCAGTTACTACTGAAGGTAAATCCACTATATTGTTACTTTGTAGACTGCATTCAAGGAGTACTCTTCATATATCAAGTATATATACACTCTATATGTATATACATTTTAAATCTTTTCACAGGATCTTTTCAAAATTTCTAAGAAGGCAGGAGTGGATACGACAGAGCTGGAGGTAATGTGATGACCCTTGTACAATCGTACTACTTTAGCCACATGTGAAAAGACTCACATTCCTTGATTATTTTCGAATTGACTCACAAGCAAGCAGTTTGTCTCTTTAAGTTTGTTTTACTCTCATGTTGTACAACAGAAAGCTGTGGAGGTGATGTGTGTGGTCCCCAAGCGCTGCAATGACATGATGAATGTTGGTCGCCTTCAAGGCTTCGAAGTAAGACTGCTCTTTATCCTCTCAAAAGTGTGTGTATGTCTGTATCTGTCTGTGTGTATGTTTGGACAATAATACTAAATAAAATAAGGTAACAATGTAAATAGTTTATACCCTGCAGAAATCAATTTCTAATTTCAGTCATCTGCCACCAGATGTCAGTGTGCACTCATTTTTGCAGACATGAAAACTGCTAGGTCTTTACTGTCTTCTGATTTCTTTTCCCTCTGCTCTCCCTCTTTCTTCAGGGTAAAATTGTGGCGCAGGGCAGATTGCTCCTCCAAGACACCTTCATGGTATCAGACCAGGATGGAGGACTTCTGTCCAGGATGAAGGAGAGGAGAGTCTTCTTGTTTGAACAGATTGTCATCTTCAGTGAACCCCTGGACAAAAAGAAGGGCTTCTCCACTCCTGGCTACCTTTTCAAAAACAGCATCAAGGTTAATGCAGCTAAATAAAATCATCTATAGATTGTATGTTCATGTATTGTAGATTGTACTGTAGCTTCTTAATCAAGAAGCCTTAGTAAAACTACTTTTAACTTTTAACTTTTTCCCTGCCTCCTTCCTCTTGCTACCTTCTTCTTCTTTTCAGGTGAGCTGGTTGGGTTTAGAAGAAAATGCTGATGACCCCTGCAAGTTCACACTCACCTCCAGATCATCTAGTGGCAACCTGGAGAGGTACACACTCCATTCCACAAGCCCTGGAGTCAGTCAAGTCTGGGTCCACCAGGTCAGCCAGATACTGGAGAATCAGCGCAATTTCCTCAATGGTAAGAGAATGATATGCCAGCTACACCAGAATGATGCTGCACTAGGTCTGGTGAAAATATGCACTAGTAGCATTGTATTTGAGTTTTCAGGCTTGTCCAAGGTTTCTTTCATGAAATATGAGTTTTCGCATAAATATAAATTTGTGACATGAGTTAAATCTTGCCCCTCCTTTTCTCCCACAGCTCTGACATCCCCCATAGAGTACCAGAGGAACCATGTGGGAGGTGGCGGGCCAGGCGGTCCACCAAGCAGTAGCAGCAGTAGTACTGGAGGACTGCCAGGAGGCAGCAGCTCCAACAGTACCTCCAACATGGGAGGGGGAGGTGGCGGCGGCGGTGGTGGCTCTGGAGGATCAGGGAGCAGCTCCTCCTCTCTCTGCGGCCCTCGCTCCCGACCGTCCCGCATTCCACAGCCGTCATCACGACTCCCCCAGCCTGTCCACCACCACCACCCCCCGGGCCCTGAGGGGCCCGACAGATCAGCAGGTATGTGGTCACCCTGCCACCCTCAGTCCCTCCCCTCGAACCCCTACTCAGACAGTCCCTCAAATGGAGAGCTGTTAGCCACAGAGGTCCCTAAGATGAGGAGGCTGGATAGTCCTCATGGGAGTAACAGTAATAACAGTAACAGGACATCAGACAGCATGGAGGGCAGTGTCAGACTAGGTCTGGGGAGCTATGAAGAAACTCAGAAATATCAAACAGCTGGTATACCACAGATGGCTGTGGCGCCTCTGAATTTGCCTCTAAAAAGCCCTCGAGTTGGGACAGTTTCTCCTCTGATTTCACCTCAGTCCCCTGGAGTAGGAGGTGGAGGAGGAGTAGGAAAGGAAGCATTTGTCCCCTCTAGCCCAGCTCATAAGGGCAACTCTTTCTGGGCTATGGTCCCTGCTATGCCTCCCTCTCCCGCCAGCCGGCCTGGTTCCTTCTCCTACCCCAGTGACAGTGGTGGTGGAGGGGACTCTTTGGGCAGAGGAAGCCACGGGACGCCCTCTCATCACCGTCACTCCACCCACAGTAAGGACATAGACCGCATGAGCACCTGCTCCTCCACCAGCGAGCAGTCCATACACTCCACCCAGAGCAACGGGGTAAGATGCCATGTCGAGGCCCAGGCTTCAGTGAGGCCTAGGACTACTCACTAGTCACTAACCTTGCCTTCACTGACTGGCTGTCAGTCAGTCACCCTGCCGCTGGCTCTGAGAATGGCTTGTACATGCACCACACTGAAGATTAACGGCTATCTGAGTGCACTAACTTCACCAACAGTGTGTGTGAGAGAGAATCCTCCCAGAATGTACTAACAGTGTGGATTTGACTCATAGAGCAACTGTATATGCTTTCTTAGACACTATTTCTGAGCTTCAGTATGTGTTTGCTTCTCAACTGCAACTGATAGACACTAACAGTTAGCAAATGATTTTAAAAACACTATTTCTCTTTGGTCTTTTAATTCATACTTCCGCGGGAATATTTTCATGTGATAATAAGTGATCTCTGGTCAAAACTCTGTCATGGGCGAAGAGCTCTTTCACGATTGCCCTACTTTGCATTTACAAAGCATTAAGTCTAAACTTTGCAATGGTTAGCCTTGCAACTACACCAGCTGCTGTTTGCTTCACTTCAATCCTATCTACCTTTCTTCAAGCTGAAAGAGTGCCTTCTTCTCGGAAATAGTTTTTTACTTCAACTCTACTCTGTCTTGGAAAACACACAGTTACTTATTTCAGCATCTCTGAGCTGAGGATCGTAACTTCTGCTTCACAACTTCTCGGAATATTACTTCTATCTTATATAGTGACTTGTGACTCATCACTGTAGACATGAATTAATGCTTTTACCATACTTTGCAAGAGAAAAAGCATTTTGCAATGCTTCCTTTGCTGCATGCATCAAGCATTTTAGCAAAGTCATGAGTGTGTAACTTTCAATCAAATCATGCATTTGATCGGTGTGAAGAGACTGTTTCACTTCTGTACTTCCCTTTTTCAGGAATGTATGTATGTCTGTGTATTTTAATATGTGTGTGTACAGGAATGTGTTGGTTTGCGTGTGTGCAGTCTCACATTGTGCAACACATAAACAGTGTTTTATAAGTCTAAAGATTTATATTCTTCTTCCTTTTTGTCAGAGTGAAAGCAGTAGCAGCAGCAGTGTGTCCACCATGTTGGTGACCCAGGACTATGTGGCAGTGAAGGAGGATGAGATCAGTGTGGTGCAGGGTGAGGTGGTCCAAATGCTAGCCAGCAACCAGCAAAACATGTTCCTGGTGTACCGTGCGGCCAATGAGCACTGCCCTGCCGCTGAGGGCTGGATCCCTGGCTATGTATTAGGACATACCTCATCCTCCATCACACCCGACCTCCCCGAAGGAACCATCAAGTAAGAATAAGAAACATTTACCCTGTTCCTGAGACAAAAACAAACACATGTATATGTCAGAATTCATCATGATTATGCAAAAAAAAAAAACCTCCCCCCTGTGTTGTTTGCTTCAGAAAATCATTATCATGGCACACAGCGCTCCGTATCCGCCGAAAGTCTGAGAAAAGAGATAAGGATGGCAGGAAGATGGAGAACGGCTACCGCAAGTCTCAGGACAGCCTGGCCAACAAAGTGTCCATCAAGGTAGAGAGTATGAAGATAACTCGTATAAACTTCAAAATGAATTTGCTCTTTGTCCTCACTTTACATTCTAATTCTGTCCTTACATTTTCATTACAGCTTCTAAATCCCAACTTCATCCATGATGGTATGTGCACACTGTTGCTTTTGACCAAGGAGTGAATGAGTGTGTGTGTGTGTGTGTGTGTGCATGTAAACCTTATTAAATATTATACCTGAATAGATATATTTGGAATATTCAAGGTACAGTTTCACATGCTCTCATCCATTTTGACCTCTATCTTTTCTCTCCAGCTCCTCCAGAGTTCCTCATCCCTGTCAGCGATGTAGCATGTGAGAGTGGCGACAGTGTTACTCTGAGGTGTAAAGTGTGTGGACGGCCCCGGGCCACCGTCACCTGGCAGGGACCCGACAACAGCACTCTGAGCAACAACGCACACTACAGCATCACTTACAGGTGACAGCATGTATCTTGACTTCACTTGATATTTTCAGTTTAAAAAAAGACACAGCAAAGGTGGGGAGGGAGCCCAAGTAGTATCATTGTCTTTATGATGGGAAGCCTTAATTCTGAGAAATATAAAATGCTACTGCACGTTTAGCATCATTCACAAAGTAACAACAAATGGAGAAAGCATGGTGCATCTTGTTTAAAGGTTTATCTGTCCTTCCTGCTTTCGTTTTTATAGTGAGACAGAGGAGGCAGCTCTTCGTATCCTGGGGGTGTCTGTAGAAGACAGTGGCATGTACACCTGTGTTGCCACAAATGTAGCAGGCTCTGTCACCTCCTCCGCCAGCCTCAGAGTCTCAGGTGAGCTGTCTGGATTTGAACCTTAAAAGCTTAATTATTGAGTACATTGTGGTACTAACACCACCTCAGTTAGGGGTTTTGAACTGCAAAAACTGTACACATTAATTCTTTAATTTCTTTCAAACAAACAAAAACATATTTTAGGTATAACAATATGTGTTCTTAGGAACCCCTGATGATGGCAGTGGAGTCCTCTGGAAAAGCAGCTTTGAGTCCCACTACACAGAGATTACTGAACTAGGAAGGTAAGAACCCTATTAGATTTGAGTTCTCACTGTTTGACTGTGATGTGATGTTCCTTAACCACATCAAAGCTAATACATTCTCACTATTACTGACATTACTACCAGTGGCAGCAGTAATAGTTGTAGCTAGGTAGCACTAAAGTAGACCTATGGGTATTTGGATAAGGAGGAATAGAAATTTCCTGCTAAATGACTAAAATACCTGTTGTCTTATGACATACTGACTAATCTGACTAATTTAAGTGCATGTATCCCCCACTGATTTTGTCTGTTAAACCCAATCCAGCCACTACAGATACAGTAAATGTGAGAGAGAAGATTTTTAAAATGGTTGTCACAATTTGAGTAGAGTAAAGCATCCACTAAAGGATTTGAAAGTGTACCTGAGACCCAGAGCAAGATAAAACATAAATCTGATAACTCTAATTTCTGCAGGGGGCGGTTCTCAGTGACAAAGCGCTGTGACCAGAGAGGAAGTAAACGGACAGTTGCGGCAAAACACGTTAACAAGAAGCTGCTGCGTCGAGAACAGGTTCTGCAGGAGATCACACTCCTACAGACTCTGGACCATCCCAACCTGGTCAAGCTGCTGGACATGTATGAGACAGCCAACAGCTACGTACTTGTACTAGAGATGTAAGTATGGTACTGTTTCCATGTATTTGCATTAAAAATATAAATTGTTTATCCCTGTGAAAAGTTCCTGATGACAAATGAATTATGTGTTTCTGTTTTCAGGGCAGACCAGGGACGTTTCCTGGACTATATAGTGAGCTGGGGCAACCTGACAGAGGAGAAGGTGGCTCTGTACCTCAGAGATATTCTTGAAGCTCTCCACTACCTGCACAGCTGGAGGATAGCACACCTTGATATCAAAGTAAATTCATATTATCACTGTAGAGCTAGAGAATAAGTAAACTTGATTAAAGTTGATTAACAGAAAATTAATTGGCAAACTATTTTGATAATTAATTATTTAGTCAGTTTTTGTATTTTTATTATTGTTGTATTTTTATTATTATTGAAATTCTGTGGTTCCAGGTTTTCTGGTGGTCTTTGTCTAGTCTTACAGCAAAATTAATATCTCTGTACTGTTTTCACTGTAAAGAAACCTCTTTGCAGCTTAAATTGTATCACATGTTGGTTTTCAGTTGTTTCCTCATCAGCAAATTAAACTGCTTTTTTTTTTTTTTTTTAAATGTGATACAATTCAAGTATTACAAAATTCCACAAACACCTCAAAACATTGGAATCTCAGTTTGGCCCAGTGGATGTGCTGGTGTTAAGATGTTCCTCTGGATCTAACGTTCCTGTCTCTTGCAGCCAGAGAACATCGTGGTGGAACATGCGTCTTCCCAGCCAGTGATCAAGCTGACAGACTTTGGTGACGCCATTCAGCTGAACCCTCCCTCCTCCTACATCCATCCTCTCCTGGGTAGCCCAGAGTTCTCAGCTCCTGAGCTTGTCCTGGGTCAGCCTGCCTCACTGATGTCTGACCTCTGGAGCTTAGGTCTGTAACTAACCACGAGTAGTTTGTAACTTCATAAGAATCTTATTTGTTGATATATAATTATGAAATATTTTGGTACTCGTGGCCCATCATTCCCTGTTACTAAATAATTGACTGTCTGACCTGCTGGTTGATTAATTTACTGGTGTATTGACTGGATGATTTACAGGGGTGGTGACGTATGTTGTACTAAGTGGCGCCTCTCCCTTCCTGGATGAGAGTTTGGAGGAGACGTGTTTGAACATCTGTCGCCTAGACTTCAGCTTCCCAGAGGACTACTTCCAGGGTGTGAGCCCAGCTGCAAGGGACTTTGTCTGTCTGCTGCTCCAGGGCGAGCCGGAGCGACGGCCCTCTGCGGCGTCCTGCCTGCAGGAGCCCTGGCTCCAGCCTCAAGGTGTGATAAACATAGACACTGGACATGCCACCTTAAGTTATACACAGCCACCAGCGCTGCCACCATCTCAGAACCGTCACACCTCACATCTGGACACCTCAAGACTCATTTCCTTCATCGAGAGACGCAAACACCAGAACGACGTTCGGCCCATTGGCACCATTAAGGCCTTTCTTCACAGCCGCCTGCTCAACCACATCTAACAAACAGGTCACCAGGTAGATGTGACAACGTGCACACCGTAGACACAGAAGAGGAATTCCTACCTGTCCAGATTACTAAGGAGGATGAGTAACACGTTTTTTCGTTTGTTCAGTTGAGCTGTGTTAAAACCCTACCGAGAGGACCACCAGCAACATTTCCACAATGATCACCTTTTCCCTCACTAAGCCACAAAAGTCCTGCTGCTGCTGACTGACTGACCTCTGCTGATAAACCCTTTGACTCTCCCCCACCTCCCATAACCTTGGCATATTGTCATTATGCCTGCACAACAAATGAACTGTTGGAATCTGTTTAAGGTTTCAAACTTTGACTTAGCAGGGAGAAAACCAAGCTTTCTCAATAAGCCAGCGTGAGCAAGTCTTGCGTTTCGGACAGTGTTAAACAGAGAAAATAGAATACTGTATAATAAGAGTAATTCAGGCTGCTTTCAGTTGAACACAAGAAAAAGTTTTTTGTAACAAGAGATTACTTTTTGTAAATGAAACCATGTACAGTGAGGAAACAGAGAACTGTCTTTATTCATAACTTTTGGAAAACAAAGATGAGTTAGTAAGTAGAAAGAAAATAAGAGAACTGAGAATTGTGAAGGAAGTGGCACCCATCAGCAGGGCCCACTTATTCGACAACAAGATGAAGACCAAAACCATGTTTTCCAGAAACACGTTGTAGTTACATTCAGTGCAATAGTTTGCTTATCTTTATGCCCCCGTTCAGTTTGAAAGGTGAAATCATTTCAGTTTGTGACACTAAGAGAAACTAAATTAACTCGAACAAGCTATTCGGCAAAGCTTCTCAGATTTCTACCTGCATCCGCCTTATTTGTAAATAACGTATTCCTGCCTTTCATTCTCATTTCGAAGAATTTGTCTCAAATAAACAAAAGCTATTTCATTTGCCGAGTATTAGTGAGTCCATGCAGTCACTCTCTGCGGACCCTCAACAGCTGGATTTCACTATGAACAAACTGCTACTAGAAATGCACTCGTATTTTGCATCAATTCCCATGTGCAATGTTGCAGCTTTAACATTTATGCAACTATTTATGAAACCTTGTGTTGTAGCCGTATTCCTAAAAAGGCATGTACGTACCTGGTACTGCGATAGATGTCTGTATTGTGTTAATTCTTATGTATTAAGTTCAGTATTAATATCTGCAAAATCCCCTAGACAAGAGGAGGGTTTTTGGAAATAATGTATAAAAAATGTGTATCTATAAAATATAGGCACTTATGCTTTCAGTTTGTCGTTATGTTTTTATTTTCTGTAACAATACCAAAGTTGACTATGCTTTTCTTTTCCTGCTAAAATGTGTTTTTTATGATTTCTCATGTTAAGTTATAACAGACCACACTGAACCCAGACATATGAGTGTTTACAAAGGTTCAGTCTGGCTTTATTTATTCTTATTGTAATAAGAAATAGTTTGGTGGTTTATTGCTGAAAAAAAACTAATATTTCACTTGTCTTTTTTCAAGCTGTGCACAAAGTGGTTTGCGGTGTGAGTTTGTTTGGCTTTTGTAGATACTTGTGTATGTTGCTAGGTTTTTAGCATCTCGGTTTGATGTCATAAGACAGACTCGGTTGACGTTTTTACAAAGCAATAGGTCCTGGAAATCTGTCTAATTGTGGCCCATTCACTGATGATTGGAGAATGCATTATACCTTTTAGGAGACAAATCTTATACCACCAACAGTTCAAATACATCCCTTTGATAAATTTCACTCAACATGAACAGGTATCTGCCATGAAAGAGATCTCTTCCAGTTATTTTCATTTGAATGAGCTGATGTCTTTAGGTGAAGAAGTTGTAGAAATGTTCTTTTTAAAGTGCCAGTTGATTGAGTCGACCTAGAGAAGTGGGTGAAACTGAAAATGTGCATTGCTTCTTATTTTATTTGAAGGTTACTTATTGAAGCATTACTGTCAGATAATCTGATTTAATGTTAAAGAAGTCAATAACATGTTGAGTTCAATGACTCTTGTTAGTCTGTACAGTCAAAGTCTCTCATTTTGTGTCATTTTAATTTATTGGTGTGGATGTGGGTTTCCCAAAATCATGCTGTTAATCAGTTTGTCAAATTCTCTTAAAGCCTATTCATGGAGGAATATGATCTAAGTAATAAAATGCCTTTGGGAAACCCAGCCTATACATGATGTAAAGATGTACAGAGAGGGTCGGGGCGGTTTGTCCACACCCAGGATGTAAACCTCATAACTGTCATATTATAAATACACATGGAACAAGACTGCAGCAATGTCATTTGAATGTCTTATTATGACTTATTTTTACTTTTGCATGTATATTTCTTTGTACAGAAAATCGTGTTTACATGTTACTAAGTGTTGTAAATATTTTATTTTGTCCTGTTATTTTGCCATTAAACGTACAAGGAACAAGTGGTGTCTCTGAAACTCACAGTAGACAAACAGTAGACTCACAAACACCCACATATTACAATGTAGTTTTTCTTGAACCTACTGTAACTATTCATTTATCGTTTCCCATAACCTTTGAGGGTTGGAAGGTGAGGCAATGTTGCATTCCCGGCATGAGTAGAAGGCAGGGAAAAACCCTGAGCAGGTCAACAGTGAAAAAAAAATTGTATTGTACTGTTTTATTAGTTTCATTTTAAACTGATATAACATTGCTTTTGTTTTTAAACCTTGATCCACAAGAAAGACAACACATCAGCTTCACATGTGGGTTTTATATAAGCTTGCAAAAAGGCGAACGTAATCAATTTGATGTGACGGGGAAATCCTGTCTCCAGCAATGAAAAGCAAGATAAAAACAAGAAAGAGACATTGTGTACAGTAATATTTGTATTGTGTGTTTATCTCATGACAATGTGTACCTACTGTATGATAACCCATAAAAAAAAGAACCACAGAGGGGGTGTTACTGATCTTATCTGCCCTCTGCAGATGCTGCTGCTGTGCATGAATCACTAGACTGACGAAGAACACATAATTTCCCCACCTACTTAATCCATTTGTCACATGTTTTCACACATCAAAATAAGTTACCATTATCCTTTCGTTAAATGATTATCAGGATCTTTGTGTCTGTGTTGTCTGAAGGAACCACAGAAAATGTGTGGAAAGTCATTTATTGTGAAACTGCATTCTTAAAAGTCCAGCAGATCAAAATTTTGATGGAACACTTCAAACCCCATGGGCAACAGTGGATCTGCCAGTTCACATTTTCTCACATGCAGAGCACTGTGTTTGTACCATTGACAGTATATAGATTTGTACACAGATGTGTGAAAGGAATAACACCTCTTAACAGGTGTGAAATCAATTTTAGTTTAGTTAGCTTTGTTTCTCAACAGTAGAACATATTTTGCATAAACGACGGAAAGCTTATCTGTACCATCTCGCATGCAATCTCTCAAATCTCATGCACGAGCTGTTAAGTGTAAAGGTGATGCACACTGGTTTAGTGTTTCCTCTTTCTTTGTCGCTTTTGTGTTGTTGTGTATTATATGTTAAGCTAGACAAAGCTGATTTGGTTTGATTTTCACGGATTATATGATTTCTTTGACCATGTGCATTTCTTAGTATCCAGACATTTTTTTCCCCTTTGGACGGATCATTTGCTGTAGCTTCTGGGCAACCTTCAGTCTTCTACACCTACTGAATTTAGCAATCACTCATAAATAGAAATCCCTCTATGACTCATCTTTTCACAGTTTTAACAATGAAAATCCCACGTGAAAAGTTAAATGACGCAGAAGGATTTCTAAGTACTAGAAAAAATATCTAGAAAGTAATATGATGTCTTGTCACAGACACAAACACTATTATCAGATGCACAGCACACTACAATGCAAGCAAGTTCTAAAAGACCACTAGATGGCACTAAAGAACTGATGTTGTATTTAATGGTTTGATTACCATAAAACTAGAGGAGTACACTCAGAGGGCAGATCTCTGTGTCTGGGGGCATGTTGGTGCAGGGCAGGCGTGTGTGTATGCATGAGAGTAGTTGAATGAAAGGAGACAGCATGCAGGTTACATTATCAAGGTGTGAATTTAGACAAAAACAATTATAAAAAAAAAACAGCATGTAAAATGTCAATTTCAAAGTGAAAATGCCAACAAAAAAAACCCAACAGCACAAATGTGACCGCCACATAGCCTACGTTCTCCCTCGCCGAAACAAGATTCCAAACTGAAGCCCCTATCACTGCATCAGGTCGTTAAGCATACAGTCATAAATGTGTACAAAAAATATGCGGCTGATTGGTCCAGTAATATGTGAGATTAGCTGCTGACAGATACACAAAAACACACACAACCAAACGCCAAATGATCTCCTTTCAGGCGCACGCTGGGTGGAGATAACATCTTAATTAAAGTAGCACCTGTGAGGTCAATAGTGCAATGTGAGGACACATTCTCAGATTCTGAAAAAACAACAGAAAGCAACCATTTTCCATCGACAGAAATAACATCACCCTCCATTACTAGTAAATTTCATGGCTTTCATCAAAACTGTCAGCAAGTCTCTTTAAAAGCTGAAACAGTCTGTAGGCCCCTAAACAGTTCAGGGTAAGTCCCTTTATCCTTTCATAGTTGAGTTTCAGATGTGTTGCCATTTTTTCTACAGTGGAAAGAAGAGTTATTCAAATTAAGTTATGTCTTCTACTTTCTGCTGTCTTACTAATTGCAAAGCATGCAGCTCTTGGAAAGCAAACAATAGGTAGCTCAACTCATTTTCCTTTCGGACCTCCATGACCAGACATACATTTAGGACAGTACTGCAGTGCTTTGGAACATTATTCTGGATCTCACAGTTTTAAACTTGTTCAATCATAACTGTTTAGTTTGTTATTTGTCTGTTTTTTAAACCTGTTTTTCCTGACTTTAAATCTGTCCTCTTACCCCATCCGTCATTTTCACTCCTACGCAGATGATACTCAACTGTATGTCCCCATCAACCCTGGTAATTACCCCTTCTGGCACCAGCACTAGCAGCATTTTTTAGAATTGTCTAATAATTCTTAAAAAAAACCCTACATGTCGTTCATCAAATGTCATTTCTGCTTTTTTTACTCCTCCAAACTTATTGCAACCCATTTTATTCTGGCAGGCATCCAACATCCGAATACCGCTACAAAATGTATAAAGCACTGCTGCCAGGCTTTTAACACATGCAAAGTATAGAGATCACATCACAAAATGCTGCCCTTTACTGGTTACCTGTCAGTTTCAGAATTGATTTTAAGATTTTGCTGATTGTTTTTAAAGCCTTGAATAGTCAAGCTCATATCTATATGCAATCTGCTAACTCCCTCCAAGTATGAGGAGAGAATATATGTATATTTTTCACACAATTTTCATATAACCTGTTGTAATGTAAATACATTCACATGTAATCCATTGTACTTATATAAGGCTTAAACTTTGGTTCAACTCTGTTTTTTGTGGGAGATTGCTTAAGAAGTGGTGTCAGGCCAAGGACATCTAATAGCAAACACACTAGGTGGAATTTCCTGTTATGTTCCAGAGAACCAGGGGATGTTAGATGTAGATATTAAAATGGGATGTTAACTGGGAAGATTTATGACATTCTTTGTGCTTTTTACTCACATAACAAGACTGTATAAAAGGAACCGTCTCTTTCTTATGTACTTCTTCTTTCTGCAGAAATTACATGGCTCTTATTACATTTAATAAAAGCCTGACGCAGCAGTGTCTGCTGCTGATTTCTGTGCAACCACAGCTACTGGAGATCCTCAGGGGATCATTTCAAAATCTTCATTTGTCCCCCCCTTCTATCCTGGCCCTTCGGCTGTGGAACTCCCTGCCTGTGGATCTCACTGTCCTCTTTCAAATCTCTTCTTAAAACTCTTGTTTATCTTATGGCCTTTTCTTAACTGATATTATTTGTTGTAACTGTTTAAATCATTTTAACTTGCTTCATATTTTATGTTTTGGAGGATTTTATTTACGTCTATTCTTTGTTACTCTAAAGCACTTTGCAACTTGTAACTGTTTTGAAAAGTGCTATACATTTGACCCTTGTAACAGTTGCACAGCCCTCTTACCCAGGTGCACCAAGGTAATGAGAGAGTGTCTCTGAGAGTGAAACCTTGAAATGCTGCTGTGTTGATAATATCAAGTCTTGCTTTCATGGACCAGTTGCTTCTTAAGGAGCATACAACGTAGGTGCCTACAGTACACTCTCCCTGCTGTTTTACATCACAGAATATAATGCACGACAGCACAAAAGAGACACATGCAAAAAGACAATCAGAACATAATCAGTGTAAAGGAAAATATTTTTATTGAAAAATAGGAATAGCTTAATATGATACATAAATATTTCATATAATATCAGCATTACAAAATGTGTTGTGACATCCAGTCTGTATATCAACTTGTTTGGTTGGACAAAAACAACAATTCTTTAGAATAAAATAAAATATAATACAAAGATATATGACGTAATTCAGCAAAATAAAATCTTAAAACTGCTTCAACTTCACACATGGATAGCTTTACCGACTGCACTAGAATTTAAGGATCACTTTGTTGGTTTTCAACCTGAAGACTACTGTTCACTGGTAAGAATGTGTACTGAAGAGCACACCACTGATTTTACATGTCAGAACTGAGCAGTTGCATGTCTTCTGATGTTATCTGAGTGATGTCATCGGGGTATCTGATTTTGGTTGCTGAGACTACACATTTATAACAGAAAGTCTGCGGTCATTGTCAGTGAGTTTAGAGACAAGACATGAGCATTTACCAAGAAGGGAGGATCTAATGTAAGAAACTATCTAGTTGCATTATGGGAAGTGTAGAATTTGGTGTGTGTGGACCCACTAGAGAGTAAATGTAATGATTTCTCAGCCTCTCCTGTTTCAATTTTGACATATTTTCTAAATCACCCAGCTGTATGAATGTGCAATACTAAATCACTATAAAAACTGACACGTAAAAAAATCCTGATGATTTCTAAGGGAAATGCGCCTTCAACAACAAAAGTTCCCATGTGGTTCTGACAGAAATCCTGTGTCATTGACTCAAGGTTGTTATATAACCTACTGACACAACTGAAATTGACCATCTGAAACTGAAAGTTAATCTTCATTAAAAATAAGTAATTATAGTACAGCAATGAAAGAAACCCTTTGAGACCAGAACATTCTGATGGACAAAAGCTAGTGGAACAGATTGTAGTTCAGGAGCGGAAAGGGACTTAGACTTTCTGTATGTTCACTGAGTTTCCAATCCCAGCTAATGAATCACTGTGTGATGTAACAATATAAATAACAATACTTGATTGATTGGGATAATTACATAATCTGCATGACACACAACAATACATCCATCACATTATTATACTCCAAAATTATATACCACAAAAAAATGTGCTTTGTGAAATGCTGATTAATATCAGTAGATATATTGCAGAAATATTTTGTTTGAATGTGCAATGCTCACTTGTGCATAAAGACTGCAAAGGTTGAAACGACAACTTGGTTATACACTTCCTCTTTCAGGTTGTGGTTTTCTCGAGGATGAGGTTAGGTGCAAATCTGCTGCTACAGATGCTATAAAACTTCTAAGCTGCACCAGGGACCTTTTGTTGTGCAACAGTTTTATACGCAAAACAGATCTTGTGCAAATAAAAGATAATCGTTGTTTCATCGTGGTGTTTCCCCGAACTGAATGCAAGGAATTGGTCAGTATCTACCTAGATGTCGTATGTGTGGTTGCTTTTGGCAGCTGATGATAAAATCAGGTTTCTGGGGCTTCTAATGGTGACGTTGTTGACAGCTGTTAGAGTTGACACAATTTCTCACTCAGCTTCAGCTAGTAGCATGTAATTAAAAAGGCAAAACACAATTTTATTCAAACATTTCTGACATTGTGCCCGTCTTAAAATGACAGGCACAATCTGTTTCATTCTTATTTCACAAAAAAAAATTGGAAGTATCCAAAGTAAAACAATAAACATATATACAGGGCGCCCTGATACCTCACCTGGGCTGTGGGTTTAAGTACCTGTGGCCCCTTTGCTGTGTGTCGTTAACAAAATGATATTTACAGTACAATTGTATTCAACATTCTTATGAAGTCTATAAAACATATGAAAGTATAAAAATATATTCTTACATTCTATGCATCATCACCTAAAATAACCTACAATTGGTGAGAATTGAATCTTATTGTGGAGATGGTCACACAAATAGACAAACAACCAAAACCACATTTCCCACTTTACATAGCAGTGCTCCTCTCATCCAGGCTGGTTGTCTGAGAGTAGACTGACGCATTGATTCTGTCTTGGGGTAGGTAGACTTTGATCACCTGGCACAATCTGCAGGGAGTCCTGTTGATCATCCTCAGCAGGTGCCTTCTGAACTTCTCCCCAACAAACACATACAGGATGGGGTTCAGGCAGCTGTGAGAGTAGGCAATGACCTCAGTGACTTGTAAAGCCAATCTAATGGCTTTGCTGCTTTCGCATTCAGTATAGATGTGCAATAGCTCCAGCGCTTTGAAGAACGATGCAATGTTGTAGGGGACCCAACAGCAGAAGAAAACAGCCACCACCATGAGAACTAAACGGATGGCCTGTTTCTTGGATGACTGGCTGTACAGTAGCCTCCAGATGATCTGTGAGTAGCAGAAACCCATGATGGCAAGTGGGACAAATAGACCCAAAAGGTTCATTTTAAAAAGACTGAAGACTGCCCAGAAGTGAGGGTTGTGTGAACTGTTATCTTGAGAATTGGCGTTCGGATATGCAGGGAAGCAGAACCGAGTATGTGTACCATTAGACCGCTCCTTGAGAAAGATCAGGTCAGGGAAAGAAGCCAAAAATCCGGCCACCCATGTAACAGCAGCTGCAATCATTCCAAAGGACCTTGTGCGTGCTCTCATAGCGTAAACTGCGTGTACTACAGCCAAGTACCGGTCGATGCTCATTAGACTGATGAAGAAGATCCCACAATAAAAAGCAATATGATAAATACCCAGGACCATTTTGCACATAGTATCCCCGAACCGCCACTCGTCCCGGGCTTGGTGGGCTAGGAAGGGAAGGGAACACACCAAGAGCAGGTCAGCGAGAGCCAAGTTTAGGAGGCACACGTCGGTCATGCTGCGGAGTCGCACCCCACAAGCAATGACCCAGATGACCAGGGAATTACCCAGCACACCGAGGAGGAAGAAAATGCTGTAGAGGGCTGGAAGAAAACTGGCCCCATGCCGCTGATACACACAAACCTCATAGCCATCTTCAGGGTACTCGTAATCTGTGGAGTTTTCAGCAATGTCACTGGTATAGGATGCTGTTGTAGAGCTGGTGAGAAACAAAGAAACAAAATTAGTAAAGATAAATCAATTAGTTCCCATTATTTCAGGTCAGGTTACTAGAAGCTCCTGCTTAAAGTACTAGCTGTGAATACTATTCACAGCCAGTTAACAGTAATCTTTGGCTATGTTAGATGTAATCTTGCAGCCCAATTTATGTCAGCAAAATAAATATACTGGCAAAACACACTGAAATAGATTAATAATGAAATGACAAAACTTTCTTTTTTAGGCTAGGAGTAAAGTAAACAGTGGAAACTTGCAGACTGAAAAAGACACATTACAGACTTTATGACAACATAAAGAATAAAATACGGTGGTATGTGTGTCAGGCGTGGTTTTAATCTTACCCTGGTGTGTTTTCTATAGTTGTATCCTCAGTTAAGCCACCGAAAGCGGTAAGGATAGTTGTGGCCATGGTCAGCTGCCTGGAAAAAAATAGAAAATTGACCTACTTTCTGAAGAACAAGACCTACTTTCTGAAGCTGCACACACCCTAGGCTATGGAAGCCACAAAGGGCCATGTTTGCATTACATTCTATTTTTTTTTTTTTAACCCTGTGCTACAACCTTATTCCTATACCTGTGTTAGGATTTTTTTGTAACATTCCCATGAGGTGGAGGAGTGGGTATAATGTAATAAGTGAGCGAGGGAGCTCCTCTTAGGAAAACAAGTGGCCGCATGGTGGACGGCAAAATTTATTTTAATTTAACTTTTTTTTACTTTTACATGTTTAAATAGAGATAACCTGACATAACAATGGTCACAACTTTAATGACTCTGCACAGGCATGGTCAGCCTGTACAGTTTGTGTGCATTTTTTTTTTTTCTTTTTTGGTCAAATTTGCAAATCTTTAAACTTTAAACTTTCACCATTGTGTACTTAACCACAGAGACATTTCAGAACAGATACACCATGTGTAATAGAGGAACTTATGAAGGGTTTTATGGTGTATTTTTACACAAGAGTGTATTGTTGTATTTGGTGTCTGACGAGTAAGTATATTTTGCACAGTGAAAGAAACCTGCAGGCTGATTTAGCAACCTGTAGACAGTGTAGGTGGTTTACTTGTTTCAGATTGATCCAGTCTGTCTCTTAAATTCTGACAATGTTTAAAAGTGATCAAATGGTGCAAAAGATCTCGTCTTGTCTTTTACCTACTATTATTCTTCAGTTGAGAAGGTGATTCTGGACAAAGGTGTCTCGGATAGGCGAAAGAAATATATGATATACAGGGAAATGGCTATAATGCTTTTTAAATTTTACCTTTAATCTGGAACTTCTGGACAGCACTGCTAATTCAGCACTTTTTCAAGAATTAAAAGCAAATTTGAGTTTTTTGAATGAGCTATTGTGTGGTCAAGATATTGATGGCTCTCTCAGAACTGTTCCGTCAAATGTGGTTCCATTGCTTAAAAAAATGTTAGTTATGAGTTGTAGAATTGACTGATGACCATGATTTCATTAATTAATCTTTTCTACAAATCAGTTTTGAACATAAATGTGCTGGGATGAGAATACATTTTCTTTCTCCCATACAACCAAAACAATACAAGCATAAGATGGGACAAATGCTCTGGGACTGTAAGTAATATGAATCCAAATACTTAAAGGTATGTATGCGTATGAATATGTGTGCTGTATGAGTATGCCGGGAAGTGATACTGCTTTTTATTTAGGGTCAGCAAAATGTACCACATAGTTTTTCTTGTATTTTAATATGTTTTATGTCTGTTATTTTAAAAGCCCTTCTAAAAGCTATAGCTATAAATTATGTGATACATTGAATTGGAAAGTTGTAAAGAAGTTTTCTTTGTAAACTGTATCTGTCCCTATCAAATAAACATTAAATGAAATGAAATTAAATATTTTGACCCCGACGCAGTAGTGTCGAAATGTTAGTGTGTCACTGTTACAGGCTCACTAATCAGAAATAGACATTTTTGATACTGTATGTCATGTTAAAGCACGTAAAACTTAAATAAACAAAACAAAATAAGCTTTACCTGCCAGTGCTGTCAACAAGATAGGTTATAGTGGTATTCATTCTGTATCAGAAGACGCAGAGGTGGACGGCTAAAACAAAGAAGGCATCAGCTGTGCATCCAATCTGATCTGCCAATCTGATAAGGCACTGTACACAAAAAATGAGAAATGGTTCCTACCCAAGAAAGTGCAGGTGTGAGAAGTGTGCAAACCATGTTACAAATCCACCCAGTATGAAGAAGTAGGTGGGCTTGTGGGCTTGCATATGAGAGAAATATGGTTTATAACTTCCTGAGAGTGCTTTCGAAAACATTCTGTAAAAGCCCACAGTGTTTGCGGTCCAAGTCCACATGCAAGCTTTAAATGTTCAGGGTGACTCGGACCAGCCCAGCAGGCCACGGCTAGAGGCTTGCAGAGCTCTGTATGCAGGCTTGTACAAGTATATTCAGAGGAAGTGATACTACTGACACAGTGCACAGTGCAGTGTCTGGCTGTTCAAAACAGCACGGTGTGTAGCAAGCAAATGACTTTCTCTGTGCAGGGAAACGTTCTGACTAATATCTATGGCTAGAGTTCAGATGTGACTATTGCATTTCACAGATCTTAACAGTGTTGTGCATCATTTTTAATCAGTCACAAGCTGAATTGTGTTGGCGCAGATGACGGTCTATCTGGCTTGTTAGTCAGGTAGCTTGTTCTTATATGACACAGGGATTCTGCTCTGTACAATTCTTGTCAAATAATTACAAGCTGCCAGGAATGACTGCCAGAAAGTCATCCAGGTAGTCTCAAATATCTCAGTATGTCTGAACTTTTTTATATTATTTTTTATATATTTTAATTAAAGTATATGTGAAATTACCTAGAAACTACAGCAGTAAAACTAAGAATGTAATCATAATCCCCCACTTAACACAGCAGACAAGCTGGGCTCAAGCAAAAGGTACAACATTCTCTGTGTGTACAAACAGGCTCCTCAAGGGCTTGACAGAATATTTGTCCACTGGCCCTCTTGTTAAATGTGACATCCTTAGCTGGGGAAATGACAAGGTCTGCAGAGGGTGCAGTCCCGTACCATGCTTTTCTGTAAGAATTTCACGCTACCAACTAAAGTAAGAAACTGTCACCTATCATACCTTCACACAAAGGCCTGACTTCAGAAAAACACACCAAAGCAATACTTATTCCAACCATTTTTGACACATACATACAGCATGTCTGTATGTGTCATGCTTGTGCTTATGTATTTATATGCTTATATATGCTTATATAGACAATACTTATTCTAACAATCTAACACATACAGTATTGTTTGGGTGTGTTTTGCTATTTCCTGTTACTCTGCATGGCTTGCACATTATCTTCTTATCTTGAGAGCTTATTTTGTTGTTTAACCAATGGCAATGGCCCATGGCAAGATGCTGAAAACATGAAGAAAGATGAATCAAGTTTGATTTTCTTTATTTTACTTCAATAGATCTACAAGTTACAAATGTACTTAGAATTACATGATTTGAATGAATGTTTTATAAAATTCTACTTAAAGCATTCCCATATTCCTACTTCGTAATAAGCTGTGTAACAATATTTACAGTACACACACACACACACAACTTTGTAGTCTCGGTATTAAAAAAACAACAACATTACATGATACATGCAACTATAACAGGACCACGCAGGTGTGTTTATCATTCCTAATAATCTGATCTTACAGGTGTGTTTGACGTCTCATTCTCTATGGTGTCTCTGTGGCTCCATCTGGTCTGGTGACTCCAACAAGGGTATCTATTTAGCACATTGGCCAGTGACTTCTTAAACTTCTCCCCTACAAATGCATAGATGACTGGATTTACACAGCAGTGAGACAGTGCAATGATCTCAGCAAACGTCATGGCAGTGTTGATTTTGTTTGAATCCTTGCAGGTGCTCAGGATATCAAACAGTTGCAGTGTCTGAAGGAAAACTGCGACATTGTAGGGGACCCAGCACACCACAAACACACACACTATGGTGAATATCAGTTTTACAGCTCTGTCCTTTTTAGAGTTCCTGGACTTGGACAGGACAACGAGGATTTTCACATAGCAGAAAATCATGATGGGGAGGCACACAAAAAGGCCCACTGTGTTCTCACTGAAGTTTCGCAGCATCTTCCAAAACTGCTGGCTGTCTTCTGGATACAGTGGCTGACACTGGGAGCTGTTGTCATACGGATCTATCTCCAAGGAGGCAAATATCACCTGAGGGATTGCCATGATGATAGATATAACCCAGGTAGTGATGCTGGCAGCCATTCCATAGCGAAGTGTCCGGGCTCGCATGGCTGCAACAGCATGGACGATGGCCAGATAGCGGTCCACACTCATCAGGGTCACAAACAAAGTCCCACTGTAGAAGCCCAGCTGTTCAGAGGAGAAGAAGAACATGCAAAGTCAGAACAGGATGTGGCATAAGGTGACATTTGTTAGGGTTTGTGGGCCTGGATGAGGTTCTTCATGTAGCCAACATCACACAGCAGCTGTTTTACATATAACCTCACCTTATTGGTAGAATACCTGCCCCCATTATAAAAAACTACAGCTGCTAAACCTGGTTATACTGTATTTGCAGTAACATGTAATTTGCACTTTTCAGAAAATACAGATAAGCAGTAACAGCTAAACAACTTTTTTACACCTCAATAACAACACCACAGATTTTATTAGTAGGTCATCTGTGCCTCTGAGTAATAACAAGCATTCGATTTTGAGTTATACATATCAAAATATGAGAGATTTGTCAATGTGGTTAATAGGATAAATCCCCACCTGATAGACTCCAGTCATCAGTTTGCATGATACAAAGTTCTGTGAATCGTACACCCAGAGGGGCAGGGATGCAGCCAGTATGAGGTCAGACAGGACCAGGTTGAGGAGGCATATGTCCGTCATAGTCCTCAGCTTTATGTACCGGAGGAGAACCCAGAGAACTGTTGCATTGCCTGTGAAATAAAGGAAACTAATTATTAGTCGTTATTTTTAGTTTCTTATTATTTCCGGTAACAAATTATAGAACAGAACTATAGCACGTATTTAAGTGTTGCATGCGTCAGTTTCTGCTAAATGTAATAAAATGTGCAAATAGAGTGATATATGTTTCCATTTCTCTTTAAGGATCAGATCTTTTGAATCATACCTAGCAGGCCTAGACAAAACAGCATGTAGTACAGAACCAGCATGGCTCTATAAGGCAACTCCAGACTGGGATCCTGTACGCAGCTGCCATTATAGTCATAGTCCAACATGTCCAAGTACATGAATGTCTCGTTCTCTGATGTGTTCATGCTGCAGTGTGAGGAGGATCAGAACATATTGGGATTACTTTGGGACACAGTGTAGTGGTTGACATTATGAGAGGGGGCATATTACACCGTAATATACACTGTACATAATCACACAAAGTACAAAATATCTAGAATGGCACCATAAAGTTGATGTAAAGGCAGAGGTGATGTCATACAGTTGGCAAAACCATGAAATTATTTCCAGAATCTTGATAGTCCTACTTTTTTTTACATTTTGGGTGCTACCATTTGTGTGTTTGGCTGTAACCTAGCCCAGTTCCTGAGACCAACCAACCTAAATGAACCCATGCTGGTACTAAACCAAGTCGATCACAAGTTTAGAACACAAGCTCTAGTCTGGCAAGCATGAATTCCCCCAACCCTACAAAAGTGACAAAAAAGTGGTATTTGAGCCCCACGTGGGGCTCTTTTGATATAAACTTACATTTCTTACTTAAAGCTCTATTCTTCAAAGGTAACCGCCCAAGCTGAGTTGTTCTGGGAGATCTTTAATTTATCTTAAAGTGTTCCCCCCAGACCTACAATTAAATAGTTAAAATGTCACAAAACAAGAGATTCATCCAACAGTCAAGAACCTACTTCTCTCTTTCACTCTTTTTCAGCTGAAAAATTTCCCCATCCAGTATCTAAATAAAATTAATTCTGTTTATGAAGAGACACCCAACTGTCTTACTGAATTTCTCTCATTCTAATATTAAAGCCAAAGTGGCCGAATAATTCAAATTCAAAAAATAAATGTAATACTACTTACTTTATCAACAATGAGCTCTTTTGACTCCTCAGTGTTGAGAAAACTGTTCCCTTCATTTGCTCTTAAGTGTGTGTAAAAACGTGCCTCCACTCAAACATCTACATGACACAGAGAGAAAGATTTATCTTCTTTATTGTCATATCAACACCCTCACAATGACTGGACTCTGTTTGTTTTACACTGAACTTCTTGTAGAAATTTAAAAAGCTTTAACGGAAGGACAGGGACATTGCTGGACTTTCCTGCCCTTTAAGTTGAACTTTTCAGATATAATCATCATTTACTGAGTAATGTTCGAAAGGCTCATCCAACAAACATTTCAAGTCCAACTGCTGCTATTTCACACCGAAAAACTATTCCCAGAGATTCACCGTCACCAACAGTCTAGTCCTGTATGTTGATTTATTGCTTTCTATAAATATCACAAACTTCCTCTTATTCTGACTATAATCAAACTTGTAATCGCTTTCAAACCACATCTCAAACGTTCTCCCCCACTATCAGACACCCAGGCCGACCCTCACTTCCTGTGGCTGACGTTGTTTGCATACACCCTCATAATCCTACCACACACTGTGTTTACCATGTAGGAGATTAGAGAGATGAAGTAGGTCTAGTAAACAAACATTTTAAAATTATAAATTTGTTAATGTGCTTACCTCATTGTCTGCCAAAATCACTGCTCCCGAATGTGAATGTTCTTGAGTTGGGCATCAAACTTACATGTCATCCTGTCACAACTTGCATTGCTCGCTTTTTGTGTCAAATCCTGTTGCAGAGCTCATTTCTGGTAAGGTGAAGACTGGGGTTTTGTTATTTCCTCTGCATTGTTAAACCTGCACAGAGGTGTCAGTGTGGTTTTCTGAGAAATGTCCCTTCATGCGTTAACATGGAGAAGAGGGGAAATTGTATTCTAATGAGGAACTTTTCGATTTCTGTGATATGAACTCTGTGATGAAACTAGTATTCAACTCATAAGGAATTAAGGAAGATTTTATTTTATTTCAATACTTTTGCACACTTGAATTCAAAATAGACTCTGAAATTAACTGTATATTAACAACAACATATAATTTGATCTGATATGCTTGATATACTCGTATTTGATGAAATCTATACTGTAGTTTCTCTTCAAATAATGATCCTACAGAACAGGGCTACATGGCCATGGTAGTGCTTATAAATTACTGCTTATCTAAATATTTGATTATATATCATATTTGAACTTTTATTTTAAATGAGCACAGGATATGTTGCCATGGTTTTGGTGTCATTCGAAAAGTACAATGTACCATTATCACTGGTACCTCTTAGATAGGAGAAGGGACAAGAGACATAAAAACAAAAAACACTTTAATAATCTCTGTTTGTAAACAAAACCAAACATGATACATCAACAAAAAAGAAGGTATTCAGTATAAAACATTACAAAATGCAAATATGCAATATACAGTATCTGTATACAAATGTCAGTCCATCCAGGAAGTTGTAATGTTGCAATCTCAGCAACTAACATAAATTCAACCAATCCCCATCAATTCTGCTTGACCATTTTGCAATTTTGTCCAATCACAGCAACTTTTCTACAAAATTAGTTTCCGGCGAGTTTCACCAATCATAGCAAACGTGTCACTAAACTTCTTGTGATTTTATTCTTATTGGAACAAACTGCCTTTGATTTTAATGAATTATACAAAAAAAAATAATTTTACTTTCTCGTGCAATTTCATTGAAAAAAAATGCATAATAATAATGAAACATGCATTGCAATTTCTTTTATAGAAAAGCTGCCATGAAAATCTGGCATTTTAGGCAGCAACAATCACCAACCTGGAAGGACTGAAATGTGAGGCATAAAAAAACATCAAGAAATTGCATGGAAAGTTTCAGGTCCGTATGACGTTTTAATGTGCAAAAGGTGCCACATACCCTGTTTTGAGTTTTATCTTTGTAGCTCGATTCATCATCAAATGTTTGAATGAATAACTTTTTCCACTGGCAAAGTGAAAAAAACAATTCCATATGAGTATTTTGCCTCTTTAAAAAAATAGTAGCTCTTCCACAAAGTATGAATGTTTTTTTGTTTTTTTACCAACGTGCAGGCTTATCACCAAATGTGTGAACAGAAAAATACAAAGCAGCAACATTTTAAACACGTCAGGCACAACAAACTTTGTGGTTACATGCTGTTACAAACGAGAACATAGTTTCAGTCAAGAGGTGCTATTTGCAGTGGCACTAAGTTTCCTCCAGTGTCAGCAGGAAAATAAGGAGCATTGCATTACGTAGCCCCTTCTGGGCTACTGTAGAAACATGGCAGCAGCCTCATGGCAACATGGCAGCCTCCATGAAAGGCGACCCACGGGGAATCCTGGTACTTTGGCTGCGTTTCATTAGTCGTTCAACATGCCCTCTTTCACTTGCCCTCTGCACTTGCCCCTCGGGGGAATTCCCCGCCGCCATCATATAGTGTCGGTTCCAATTGTCTGGAAAAACTGAAGTTAACTTGGTGGAGATGGACCCTCGGAGGGCTGAGGGAGCGAGGAACAAACCAATGGTCCCCTGATGGTGGATATCACCCACCAATGCATTGCAGTTTAACGTCATGCACGCATAATAATGCCGACGGTCCATTGTGGGACTTACTGACTCCAGCCAGTGCTTCATTAAATCCCCGCTCCTCCCCCCGGCCCACCCCTCCGCCGCCTCCAAGGGGCTCGTTGCGACGTTATGCTTTAACGTCATAACCAAAGGGTCTGAGGGTAAGTTCAACGGAGGAAGTGATACTAATGAAAACGCACCCTAGGACTGTGCCTTTTGCTGCAGCAGCCAATGGGTTTCGACTCTGACTTCGGGCCTTTGCCCCCCCCTTTTCCTGTCACTCTACAGCTGTCACTATCGATTAAAAGCAACAAAAGCCCATAGAAGTATTTTAAGAAAGCAAATAAATATTACATAGAATTCGTTTTAAAACACTTCTTAATATAGTCAAAACAACATTTTTTATTACATAAATTTAAGGTCAGAAATCATCAGTCAGGATCAATCAAAACATCAGAAAGGCGACCCATGCATCAAATATAAAACAGATACATAGCAATTCCTTATATTTCAAGGTGATTAAACGCTAATAAAAAACATACTATGAATATCCACATTCCATTTCTGCCACCTAAAGAGCCTCCTAAATTGTTACACGTGGACATTAGCCTTTGGCTTCTGGGTTTTCTTGTTTTAACAATGTATCTTTAAAATGAATCTAAATTCATGTGTTAAGTGCCACCCCATGCCACCCCTCTACATCCGCATCTGCTGATGAAGTGACAAGTGAGATAAAATCATACTACACAAACAAGGGTACCATGGCAGCAATAACAAAGCTATCTGGATAAAAACATGTTAAACTCTGTGGGTGATGTCCATAAAACATATTACAGCTGCCCTCCACCTCTTACTTGATGATAGTGGAGGTGACTTCAGAGGACCTGGACATAAAAGAGCTTTTCCTGTATGAGCTATCTGACAGATCTCTGGAGGAGGGAAAGTGAATTCCAGGCACCCAGCTCTTCAGCAGCCGCAAGGCCCGTTTCATAAACTTTTGACCCACAAAGGCGTATATGATGGGGTTCAGGCAGCAGTGAGTGTAAGCAAAGGCCTCAGTCACTGTCACTGACAGCTTTAAATTTGAGTCCAAGGTGCATGGGTCACCTTGCAATTTATTTTCATCTCTTAGAAAACTCAAGAAGAGGGAGATGTTATATGGGGCCCAGAATAGGAAAAAGACAACCACTATGGAGATGATCAGCTTGACAACTCGGTGCTTCTTTGCGCTCCTCATGTTCACCAGAGTGGGGATGATCCTGGAGTAGCTAACCACCATCACCAGCAAGGGAATCACAAGACCCAGCAGATTTGTAGAGATGAGGTTATAAAGCTTCCATGCATTGTTTTCCGGGACATAGTCACAACTCAGTCCGTGAGACTCATTTGTCACCTTTGTGAAGATAATAGCCGGCAGAGACACACTCAAGCTCAGCATCCAGACCAGCACGGTCAGAGTGATACCTGCCCGCAGGGTGCGGTACCGAGCCACCGTGTGAGCGTGCATGATGACCACATAGCGGTCCAGCGTCATGAGCACCATGAAGAAGGTGCTGCTGAAGAACCCGGTGGTGTGGGAGGCAGCGGCGACACGGCACATGAAGTCTCCGAAGAGCCATTGGCTGACCACAACGTAGTTAGCGTAGAAAGGCAGCGTGATGACGAAGAGCAGGTCGGACAGAGCCAGGTTGAAGAGGCAGATGTCTGTCAAGTTGGTCTGGTGGCGGTACTTTACCAGGACACAGACCACTAAGCCATTACCTGGCGAGAGGAAACAATACCATATCATCAATCATAGCATATGTAAAGTAATGTTTCTCAACAATCTCTCTTTCTCTTTCTCTCTC